CAAATAGAGAAAGACAACGTTTCACTATATTTGCACGCTGTCAAAGAGATGGTGTCTGAGAGATGGCGAACATCAAGCCGATGCTCATTATGCCTGTGAGCACTGAACGGAGTTCTTTTTGCCACAAAATTGGGCTTTAATGACTGCGTTTACTTGCAAAGACGGTCATATGTCAAAATGACCGTCTTTGCAAGTAAACGCAGTCATTTATGTCTTGAGTGAACTGAAACAGTTGAGAAAGTAGAAAACAAGTATATTGGATCCAAATATACCTGCTGTCATCTGTGTCATTAATGTTAATCGATCAACAGAATACATGTAAGAATAAATGTATATTTAATCTACACAGTGAAGACTATGTAGTGTTTTTTTATGCATTTCATTACTTTATAGTACAATTCATGTAGTATTTCTTATTTCTAGAGCTTGAAGTTTTTCAAGTATATCTATTTCATTTGTGTCTTTGTTTTATTGTTTTTGAAAATTGTTATCGTGAAATAAAATGACTCGTATCATGGTATAAGATGTTGGTCATATCGCCCACTCCTAGGTTGTACTGAGACTGTCTGGTTCGCTCTTTTGTGTCATGACTTCTTGATCCCACTTCCTCTTTTCTCTTTATTAGGATCTGAAAAAAGCTGGTTTGTTGATTTTCGCCAACAAACAAGATGTGAAGGGTTGTATGACTGTTGCTGAGATTTCTCAGAGTCTTCAGCTTACCTCCATCAAAGACCATCAGTGGCACATCCAGGCCTGCTGCGCCCTCACTGGAGAAGGGTAAGGTCACAAAAACCTACAACAGAGCCACATGACAAACATGTACATACAAAGATCCATTTCCATGTTATGTTCAGTCGATTTAATGATCTAATGAGTCACAGATTGTGTAAACTTCTGCTGTTTTTGTCATTTTGAATATAGACCTAGCACTGATAGAAGTGATGAATCAGCATTAGGCGTCTAAGGGTTGCATAGACAGCAATTGCTGTCAGACAAATGCAGACATGTCCTTTGGTTTCCAGTCCATGCTTGTATTTTATTATTCAAGAATCTTGCATCTTTAGCCGCCTTTCCACTGCACTCAACAAACAACAGCCTATTAACCGGAAGTCATTCATTTTCTATGGAGAGTTGCACAGAAGTTACACATCTGCAAATTTGGAATTTTTTTGCATCAATTTTGAGCTTTAGATATGTAAAATATTTAACTTTAGCAATTACATGTTCAACATGTCGATGGGATGCGATGTTACCAAACAAATCAGTGTGTGCGCAAAGTTAGAATTATGAATACTTGTTTTTCACTTTATCAGAAACACTTGATTATTATTATTATTATTTTAAAAAGGCATGATTATTGATAAATAATTATTAATAAAAAGAAATTGTCTCCATGTTCTTATTCAAATGATTGGCAGTCATTTGTTCTCTATACATCGCTGTTTGTTATTTTCATTAATTTATTCATTTCACCGTGGTTAAATTTCAGAAGATAAGAACTCTTGCTTTTGCACTCAATTTAAGACATGAAAAGAAATATTGCAAGTCAGTTCGTGTAAAACAAAATTATGAGGAGAAAATATCTCATTATTTTATATTGCATCATAATTATGACAAAAAGTTGCAATCATAAATTTAACTAGATCATTTTGACTGTCATAATGATTTTATCTCTGTAATTTTAACTAATCTCTCAATTATGATGTACCAAAGCATGATTTTTTTTTCTCATGTGGCAGTAATATATGCTTTCATTGACAAACCATGTTGCATGCCAATGCAGAATTTCACAATGTATCAGTAAAGCAAATTCAAATTGTACCTTTCTAATCCCATTCTGACTTCTTTGTGGACACATACAGATAACTGGTTGCACAGAAAATAATATTTAAAATGTGTTACCTTAAAAAAGGCCATAATGTGATTCAGAAAGTCTATAGATTTCATAATGGATTGTATGAGCGGTCATTGAATTTTACTGAACAGACTAAAACGCACTTCATTTTATGGCCAAGGTCATTAGTTCAGAGGCCTTTCCTTGACTAACAGGCAGAAAGCACAAATGTCTTTCTTTGTGTTCTTTAGAGAAAGAAAGAAAATAGGAGCATTGTTAGCTGCCCGAGCTGAATGTCTCTTTCCTGTCCGCAGGCTCTGCCAGGGTCTAGAATGGATGATGTCACGGCTGCGAGTAAGATGACCTCAGACTCACACCAGTGTGCTCTCTCTGTCTTTCCCACCGGGTGTCGCTCACTGTGAAGGTGACTCAGCGGCGTCACCAGAACTCGTTTGATTAATTTATTACAGATTATTGAGAACTGTGAATGAACAATCTGTAACTAACTCACTAAAATAAGTCAGGACTTGTGAGACAGCATAAACCCAGTGTTTTTCTCCACGGATGGCCATTGAAAAAGGAATATGGTGAGTAAGAGAACTCGTCTCTGGCTGAGCGGATCCCTGCCTGGAGTGGCGTCGCTGCTTTACCCATCTACCTGACATGGTGTTGCCCAGTGTGTGCAGTCCAGTATTTTCATTAACCTTGTGCCTGTGCCTGCACCTGACTCTCTGTCCCCTCTGGCTTGAGGAGACACATTACCATGCAACGGGAGACTGCACTCATGTAAAATACAACTAAATAAAGTGTTTTTATCTGTCATGACAGATGTTTCACATTTTATTTCTCAACAGATTTTCTTATTATCCCTCACTGACAGTCCTTTTTTCAGAAGTATTTGGTTACGTTCCACAGCCCTTTTGCCACCTCTAGAGGGCATTGCATGGTTTGAAAGGACAGTGTCTGTTTTAAAAATGAATTTAATTAGCGTATTTGTTTAACTTGAACAAAAACCTGATATGTTTAAGGAGGATATGAACTTAATCTGGATTGAACTTTGTGTACTAAAATTATAGCATTTTAATTCACATCACAGAGTAGACCAAACACATAATATTATCACAGAATTTGGACTTCAATTTGTAATTATTTGCACAGTACAGATGTTTACTTTCTAAACGTTTACATTGTTAAAAAAGTGGGGTTTTTTATATTGGTATGTGTATAGATTTTTTGCAGTTGAATTGTCACTGTTGGCAAACTCCATTTTAAATCTAGTGCTTAAAACTGGTCAAAGACCAGTGCAGACTGCCTTATTTACTGCATTGTCTTTAGATTAGGCACAGGTAATGGGTTTTTGTGTATCCATCTGAAGCAGGATTGTTTGTACTGAAAAACATGTTGTTGTGGTTTAGCTACTTATATTTAAAGTTTAATTTCATGAGTCATGGTAAACAGGTTTTCTCTGGAACTGTATCCTGGATTTGTGATTTGAAATGCCATTTCCCTGGATGAAAGATATTGTTTTTATTTAAATTAGGAGTCATTGAAAGTGTTTTAATACCCACCTTCAGCTGCTCAGACCCCCTTATTACTTACTCATTTTCCAGTGGCTAAGCTTTATGACACTCAAAGCGTCATGTCACTGGATTTAAGTATTGTTCATAAAGCTTAGTCAACAGTTGTCCATGTTTTCCTCTGTTCTCAGATGAAACTAATTATTCCAATCTTTAAAATATTAACCCAATCAATATTACATTTGTTTTATTATTAATGGCAACTTGTGCCACCCATACATGCACCCTGTTAGGCAAATTGCATGGAAAATCAATACAATTTTCAAATCTTGAAATATGTGACAATTGAATTGAACCATTAACCTAGAGTTCATCTCCCTTCAAATTTCCCCCCTGTTTGACCCAATTAGTGTATCTTACCGGTATATTCATTTGCAAGCCAGGAATATAAAGAAAATGAATTGATGTCATTTCCACCCTTTGAAGTCCATGACTGTTTATTTTTATATTTTAACTTTAAGGTTTGTTGTGTATTTGTTTATTTATTTGTTTTAATAATTTATTTTAATTTGAGTTATTTTAGTATATCAAGTTAAAGTAAAAGAAAATGAGAATTGTTGCCTTGGCAACTAGCTGAAGAAAATATTTTATTGTTCTGTTTTTTATTCTTCTTTATTTATTCTGTTCCATCACTGTTTGGAGTTCTGAAATAGAGGACAGTGGGGAAACCATGAGCTGACACAGTCACAGCTGCCTCTGTCATTCACCTTCATCTCGGTCCTGCTGCCCCACCATGGAGATGTGGAGAACTGTGGGACTTGTGAGTGGACTTGGCTGGTGCACATCATGATAAAATTGTTGTATATCTTGTGTCTTGAGGTGTATCAGCAAAGTATTGGTCAAACTGTTCCACTCAATGATTTAGGAAACATACCTCTGTGCTAAACATCCCCTTACTGCCACTCAGGGTGCTTTAAAAATAGTGTCTGCTGTATTTTTGAGTGACCCTGAATAGTTTAATGCTGTAAAGTACTCATCAGGATTAGATTCGGGTGAGACAGCAGCTGTCTGTCTGCTCACAAGTACTTGGGAGATGTTGTAGTGGCACTTTCTAAAAAGCTATTTAATAATGACTCATCCTGAGATCATTATTATACTGGCTGTATAATGACAGTCCTCATGCATTGAGTATAATGCCTATAGATAGAATAGACTGAGAATCAAATCATTCTTATCTGTTCCTGAGTTAGATGGGTTTATAATTGAGTGGACAAGTCGTTTATTTTACTCTTGATTTCAGCCTCAGGGTTCCATGTGCACTTGCATGTAAACCAGTGACTTCAAGAAGTTTCTCTAGCCATCTTCACAGACCAACTTCACAGACCAACAATCAGCCCCCCCAGACCTCCACAGAACATCTTGCTGAATTGCATCCCTACATTCCCACATTCAGACAAATCAGGTATTTTCCCAGGTTTTCTTTTCTCTTCCTCATAGTTTCATAGCTAATGATGATTTGCTGAACAGGTGCACTTTTCTGAAGGGTCGCTAGTGTATATTTAGCTTTTGAAACCTGAGAATGCTGCCCACTGATTGGTGGATTGGGGCACATGATAACCGGAGTGCCGTTGCAGCTGTGAGCTTTTGCCCGGCGTTTCTCAGGAGGGAAGAGTTGGGGAGGCTCTTGCAGTTTGGGAAACGTTTTAACTTTAAAGTCACCGGTAAGCAAAAGAAAAACCACAAAATCAAACAGCACACCAGATTTTACTCTCCAGCACTCTTTGCACGGTCTGCTCTGTTGGATTGACCATCTTCTACAGCCTGTTGGTAGATGGAAGTGATGCTGAGGGCGATGCTGGTCCTTTAACCACAGCCTGATAAAAGTCATCTGACTGTATTGGCCACCATTGCAGGAACAACCAATTACGCAAAGCTGGAACTTATTCCTGGACTTTGTTTTTCTTGGAAGACTTTCTGAAGCAACTCACCTCATGGACAGGAGTTTGTTAAAGTCCCATCCACATTCCTCTCAATCTTTCTGATGAAAAAGCATTATTTCATATCATTTTCTGGGAGTTTCTGGGTCCTAAAAAAGGGTAGTTAGTGGTCATACCTAAAATTAACCTGTAGCCTCAGAAGGCATTGGAGCTCCACTAGCTAAACAAAGCCAGCCAATCAGCCCGCAGCATTGGCTTACATGACAAATAGCTGGAGCGATTCAGAGCAGCTGTCGCAAGGCTTCAGCCAGGAGGCGCAGCGTTTTGGGGGGTCTTAGGTGTCAAACCCTCTCAACTAACAAGGCCTGCAGAAAGATTTCAGCACAAAATAAAAATTTTGCTTTTGTTGATCCACCCACGCTAAAGTGTCAGCTCAGTCAGAGGAAAACTGACACATTTTTTGTCTTTGTTTAGGTTTGCAGGAATAGGCTACATAAAGTGGAATAGGAGATTGGGACACGAGTGGATGGAAAGCGAGCACCTTCTTTACTGTAGGGTTGCTGAAATTCTACTGTAACTTTCTATAGTAAAGGTACGTCAACTTTTTAGTTTGGTTCTTTAACTTTTACACTGAAATTGGCAAATCATTCCTAGCCTGTTGTCAATGCCTTTTTGTAGAGTGTCCTTCAAGTCTATCCAAGTCTGTCCATCTAAACTCTTCAAAACTCCTGTTTATTTCTCAGTGTCAGGGATTAGTTTAAAGCAGTTAGTAAATATTTGCAACTATACAGATTAGCCCTTGCTGGTGTCTGATAGTCTTTCATTTGCTTGGGTAGACTCAATAAATCTGTTTGAAGATGGCATCAGAAGAAGAGTATGAAGAAGAGATTGTGGGGGAGGAGGAGGTAAGCTACAAATTCAATACATTGCAATGCATATACTTGATTATTTATTTACCCTCATTCATTGAAAGAGTGACAGTAATGCTCCTCTATATTATTTCACATTGCCCCTTGAATAGCTTATTTAGGCTTTTCACATTAACGCCTCATAGATCTCAGTCCTATAGGTGTACAGGCGAACCCTATGAATAGTGGTCTATTATATGTCCACCGTCAGCAGTTCAGTAGGAGCTGCCATATCGTATATGATTAGCATTGGATCCCATTTCAGATGACCTCTTCCTTCGAGGCTAGTCCACTAAATTCCATTCAATACATATTTCATTCCCAACAATAAATGTATCACTGCTTTATTTTCAATATTTAATACCTTGATGAGATATTAATTGCATACATGGCAAACCATCATTCACTTGATATTATTGACCCTTGCAGGAGTTTGTCATCATCTGATAATAATATATTATTATGAACATGTTAATGTTATGTTTTCCTGATCAAACCAATGAAGCCTGAATGGAAATAACCATTGTTAGATATAATACTCTCACTTTTATACTAACAGTGGGATTATGTTCTGTTCAGCAAATTAGCCTGCAAGCTTCATTATGAGCAGACAATCACGTGTTATTTCAAACTTAATCGATTGGTTGCACAATTGGCACCATTTTGCATTTTGAGGTATTTTGGCTGATTTACTTAAAACAACATTTAATGGGATAGTTTATGACAGATTTTGTTTCTGATTTGAAATATGTTATTTAAATATGATTTCGGCCAGTCATTTCTTTAATAGACCTTATTTTTAAGATTTAACCACAGCTCCTCTTGAAGCTTACAGCAGTTTTCGTTTACCTCAATGTGTCATTGAAATTCTGTCTGTACATGTACATATAAATGTGTCTGTCTGAGTGACAAATGGAAGAGTGAAAGCAGAAGGTTGATACTTTAACTTGGTATTTCCAAGAGAAATAGAGTTAAAGTAGACCTTGTATACTTCCATGTCCATTTCTGTTGTAGATATCTTATAGGGGTTTACCAAACAATTGCATTAACCAAACTTTTCATTGAATAGCTTTATTTTTTTTAAAAGAACGCTTTGAAAGAACAAATGCTTTTGGATTCCCCTTTAACATATATGCAAAAAAATGGAAATTCATTATCTTGCATTTTGAGCAGATGGAAATCTCAACACAATATTTTGGATTGTACGTTATACGCTCTGATTTCACTACTGCTTTCATTTACGCTTAGAATAGAACCTGAAAGGTATCCATGTTAATTAAGATGGCTTCTTTTATTGGATCTGGGGACAGCAGATAATCACATTTTGTTCTTTTATATTTTATTGATTTTTCAGATACAGTCTATAAAATTATATTTTTTTCTTCAGAACTTATTATTTACAGGTATAGTGTTTTATAAATTAATGTGGCACTAATAGAAGTCTATATTTCCAAAAATTTGTGGATTATTTGCATATGCTTATCTCCCCATTAATGGATAAAGCAGCCTTCAGCTTTGGCTGAGTTGTTCTTTGAAGAGATACAAATATAGAAGTGGACATCTACGGCTGACTCGCAGGGAGGCAAATGAGACGAGCCGTGCTGTAAATTACACTCCTTTTGCTGTTAACGTCAAGCTGTTAAAATGCTTGAGGGGAGGACCAGTGGAAAAAAAAAAAAAAACCTGTTATATAGTATATTCATTGAAATCATTGAATCTCCCATATTCTGTCTGTTAAGTGAAAGATGAAGAAAAAATATATAAAATGCACAGGCTAAGAAAATCTTCATAATGTAAGAATTTTCTGCTGCCCACTGGTCCAAATAAAAGAAACCTCTAGTTCCTGTAAATTCATAAATTTGGAGTGTTTTGTTCCTGCTCTGGTTTCATAGGTTTCTTACACGATCTTAGACCTAGTGATGTTGTTGTCAGTGACGGTTTCAGAGAGTTCTGTCATGGTATCTGACTAAATACCAGTGGGGGATAGTTTATTCTCTGGACAGTTTGGGAATGTATGGAAGTGTTTGTATTGGAATTTGTTCCCTGACCCACTGTTTCCATTTACTACCATGACAATCACGTTAGCTGCAAATAATAATAGTGTTGAGGTCATTAGGGTGCTAAAATGTCCTTAGCACTGGCCAGTCATACGGCTCTGTCAGTCAGCGACAGAGCTCCACTGAGAAAAAAAAGCCTCATTACTATATTTGTATTCCCTAAACAATTACCGAAGTATTCAGTTGACAGCAAATTAAGCAACATTCAGTAAAACAACTTTCTGTGGGGGGGAAATATTATAAAGTGAGATTTTTATGCGAAACTATATCAATTTAGTTTTGTTTAGAAAGACAGGAGCAACATTAAGCAGTTATGTTTTTTATTTTAATGTCCTAAAACTTCAGAGCCCCACGAATATAATGTGGGAAAACAAGATACGGAGGCCAAGAATCAATAATTAGTTTCCATGACTTAGTAATCCAAATAATTGATTCGTTTTAATTTAGTTAAAGTGTGTGAATGACAAAACAAATTAGTACTACTTGGTCATAAGTTAAGTCGTGGGAGTTCATTCTTGATTCATGGCCATGTTGTTATTTTTGTTCCCATGTCATACAAAACCAATATCAGGACCATTTTCATTTTTGCTTTTTTATTGTATTATGGTTATTGGAATAATATGCATTTGCTTTGCAATCTACAGTATATAATTTAAAACATATTTTTTGGCATGTTATGCTTAAAATGTTAATGTTTATCATTTATTCTGAATGCCTAAAAAGTTATGCAATAATAAAACACTAAATAGGTAAATTGTTTCACCTATTTGTTGAACACACAGTGGTCGAATTATATTTTCAATTCTTCAGAGACCCACCAAATTTAGTAATTTGTCGATAAACCTGATATTAAACATTTGATAAAAAAAAATAAGAAAAAGAAAAGTGTGAATATGGGCAAGAAATATCAGTCAAACCAATTATTTTTCTATCTCTTATTTTGTTATATATGGTAAAAATGAGATGAAACCCTCTTAGCTGAAATTATGCAAGCCGGCTTAATGATCAATGGATGACTTTGCAATGTAATTAATGTAAATATGAATAACAGGACATATATTTGGTACAATGATAAAGTTCGGTAAGCCTTGAGAGGATCCAACTACATCAAATGTATTTCTGGTCAAAATGTGGATTTTAAATAAAATAAGCCAATGCTTATGACTGCACATGCGCCCAGCCTGACAAAAAGCATGAGCATTTAAAAACAAAATTTAGGAGACAGTTGTTTGTTTCAGTTATAAAAATTTATCATAAGCTTGGTGAACCGCTTTGGAGAATTTGATGTTTCCCCATTCAGAGAAATGGGAGCTGTACTTCTATGACTGAAATAGCTGCCCGAGAGGTGTTTCAAAGATGGCCGCTGAGTCAAATGAATTGCCTTAAAGGGAATTTAGGGGTTTTATGTCTATGAGAACCAGAGCTGGAAAAAGTCACTTTTCTAGATTGTAGAGTTTTCCTGAAGTGTATGATCGTCATTTTGAAAGCCCAGAGTTTTTCCTATATTTATAGTACTACGAGGAGAGTTCAACAATCACCACCACGTCCACCTCAATGTCTCATGGTGTTGAGGTAAATGATCATCTCTGGTGAAACGGATCTGCGTCCCTCCCACATGCCATGGGGGCTATTCCATTCCTTCAGACTAGTTTAGTTTGTATTAGTTAGAACTATCCAAATGGTACCGACTTAAAGAGTGGATTATTAAACAAACTCCCTTGTTTAACAATTCATGTGTCATTAAAAATATAATATTATGTCCAAATTCAATTCTTTGAGTAGCCTAGCATTTACGAAAATAGCCCCCATGTTACCGAGCCATGCAAATGCCAATAGCGTTATACTGAACAGTGAGGGTGTGGTAATAGAGCTTTCTCTATGTGAGTGAATGTGTTTCCTTCAGTTTATGTTTGTATAATGCTTTAAGCACTTTGTTGGACTGTCCCGAAAGTGTATTTTCTGTAGTTTTCTGCTTGTTTTCTTAATAAACATTAACTGAATTACTACCAATACTAATTTACTGACCTGTCTTTGAAATATGCTCTTTAACATTTTTACTCATTTGCTATAAAAAGCCAAGTATTAATTTGCATGGTAAATTAAACTAACAAATTGTTTGCTGAAGACACATCAAAATTAAATGTTAAAATTAAATTTACCCCATCCATTTTTGGTTTTTGGAATAAATCCATAAAGACAAAATTGGATTTGTGATTGCTTATTATGATAACTAGTTATTTTGGTCCCACAAAACTGCCCCCAAAAGAGATGTAAGGTTCTCCAAAACAGTTTGGCCTTCAACGTTGAAATACTGTAAATGTGAAAGATGTTCGAGATGTTTCTCATTTATGGCACCATTTGTCTTGAATGGTGATTGCTCTTTCTTTTTATTTTTAAGTCCACACCAGGTGGTCTTCCCAGACGGACAGTCAGGAAGAAGGCGAAGGTGGACACCTCAAAGTTCATGACTCCTTACCTGGCACACAGCCAGAAGATGCTTGACCAGTACAGCCATGTAGGAAAATATTTTGTGCTATTAATCCACATTTCCTTGACTGATGTTTTTTTCTTATTTCATTGAAATTAACTAGACTGTCGACAGTCCCAAATGAACCTCATAACTGTGAGTTTTTATTATTTGTGGAAGACAACAGAAACAGATTCACATAAAATGAATGTTTCCCAACCATCAGAATAGAACCAGATATGTGATAGAAGTTAGTAGAGGTTACTATGTACAGTACATTGCCATTCAAAAGTTTGGGACAGTATTGTTTTTGTTTTTTAAGAAAGTCGTCATTTTATTCAGCATGGATGCTTTGCATTGAAGAAAATCTGTTTTAAATAAATGCTGTTTTGTTTTATTCTATTCATCAAAGAATTCTGAAAAAATAAAATCATGGTTTCCTCAAAATTATTAAGCATTTTCAATTTAAATAATAATAAAAAAATGTTTCTTAATCACTATATCAGCAAACTTTTACACATTACTGTATTATTTTTTATGCTTTTGTAGAATAAATACAGGGAGGAATATGAAAAATCAAAGGGGCAGCCCTATGCCATTTCAGCTGACACACCTGAGATGATTCGCATCAAGAAGGCCCAGGAGCAGCTTAGTGAGGTGTGTACCATTTGTGGATCATATTACTATATTCTGTCAGAATATAGTTTGCAAAATCTTCATGTCCATGTGAGCTATTTTTTAACTGATGCTTTTTGAAATCCCTTTATTCTAAAGCTCCTAATTAATAATGGACTTCATGCAATTTACTTCTAGCCGATGTTGTGTATTTCGCTAACAATACATATTTTTGATAATTCAGGTGAAATACCGTATGGAGGGCCTGAAGGCCAAAACCACCAGCCTCTATGATGGTGAGGCTCGTGAGATTGCCCACGTGAAGCACGTCTCTGAGCTCGTCAGCAAAGTAAGTGCCTCTGTCAAGATAGATTTGTGAATTCAGTAGAGTAATACTCGTTAATGTTTAATAATCGAGTTGAATAATACAACACATTCTCACCCCAAGGCGTCACCTTTGACCATGCTTCAATATTTGACGTTTTAGGCGCCCTTTAGCGTCACTTACATGACGCGATCCTACGGCGTCATCTAACTGACGCTAAAGGAAAGCGTCAGTTAAGGGACGCGGTTAGGTTTAGGTGTGGGGTGGGAGTAGGGTACACGCGATCCTAGGGCGTCATCTAACTGACGCTAAAGGGCGCCTAAAGCGTCAGATATTGAAGCATGTCCAAATGCTTCCCAAGGCGTCAGTTAAGTGACGCCTTGGGGGTGAGAATGGGCTGAATAATAATAACAGAACTGGGTAACACTTTATTTGAAGGGGTGTGCATAAGACTGACATGACACTGTCATAAACATGACATAACACCTGTCATGAACATGAAGGAGTCTTTATGAATGTTTATGACTGCTGTCATTAAGTGTCATTCGGTAAATTATGACACTTTTAATGCAAAGTTGACATTGTTTAAAATGTCTTTGTTATGACAACTTGACATTAACAAAGACAAAAATGTATAGACTATCGAGTCTTTTCCTTGTGTTGTTTATTGTCATAAAATAAATTCTCCATATATGCCTTCTCCAGGTTCTGTACAGGCAGAAATGGGATGAGACCAAGGATAGGTACTTGCTCCCTCCTGACGCCCCTGAGCTGGTTCTTGCTGTGAAGAATGCTGCAAATTACAGCAAGGTAGAGCTCTGATTCCTATTTTGTATTAGATAAGCACTAAAGTAAAATTTATACTGATTATATGTTCACAACGATTTAATGTCCCTATCAGAAATTGTACACAGAGGCGTGGGATGAGGATAAGACCATGTACTATCCATACAGCGACAGCCCAGAGTTGCGCAGGGTGGCCAAGGCCCAAAAAGACCTCAGTGATGTAAGTCAAATTGTGAAATTTCATTCATGGTCATTTAACGATCATATGGAAAAAAATAAAGCTTTTTGTCTATAAAATAAATATTTTATTTTAGCTAAAAAATTATTACAAATGCTCTTACTGTTACCTTGTCTCACAAATCTGTTGTGCTCCACCTTCACAGATTGTCTACAAGAAGGGCCACGATGAGCGCAAGGCAAAGTACACGTCTCTGGCTGATCCCCCAGAGATGGAACTGGCAAAGAAAAACTTTGCCAATCGTAGCAATGTAAGACTTCCCTGGTTTTTGTGCCTTCTAAATAAATTCCCATTTTCCTGAAGTGTTAATGACGAGTCCTACCACATAGTTTCCATCTATCAATCTATCAAAGTTATTTAAGTTTTGTTAAGCCCAAAGAAATAGATTTTATTTGTAGTTATATTGTAGATTTATATTAGATTTGTATTTTTTATGACATGGACATCAGAAATTGTGTCTAATGTAAATTTTTCTGTCCCTGCAACAATAGATTTTGCATGTAAGCCATAGGCTCTCAGAAGGTGAGAAATAATATAAAACCCTTAAATTCTTCACAGCTTAAATATCATGAGGATTACAACAAGAACGTCAAGGGAAAATGGTGTGAAACCCCTTACTTTGATATCGCTATCGCTAGAATGGCTATGGACAACATCAGTGACGTAAGTGCCATAAACTCAACGTTGTTCAAAAACAGATGTTCTGATGGAATAGTTCAAATAAATATATTTATCAAAGTGAAACATCCACATTATTAATATAAAACATTCTTAATATTCAGATCAAATGTTAAAAAAAAATGTTAATTGAGTGTCACACTTTGATTTCTTTCCAGAAAAAATATACGGCTGACTTTGAAGATATGAAAGACCAAATTTATTTCATGCAAACGGACACACCAACGTATGCTTCCAACAAAAAGGCTCGCGAAGCTGCAAGTACGGTAAGTTTTGCGAATTTATTTACACTCTTTTTTTCTTTTTCTATTTTTTATTTCTTCACACATGTAGTGGAGTCTGATGCCATATGAAAACCTGGTGATTTCTTTTATTTAAATGCAGATTTATGTATTTATTTATTTTTTTTATAAAATTACACAAGCAATATTTAAAATGATGCACTATCTATAAATGAGAGGATATAGCATTTTGACTAGAAGTGTTTTTTTTTTCTTTTACTTTTTATCACTGTATTTTCAGACTAGCTTTAGAACATTCCAGCATTCGTGCATTGCCTCCTGATTAAAAATAAAAGTGAGATAATACATATCAATGGACATACTTTTTTAGATCTCTTCTCATTGTATGGAAACAACCTTCCTGTGATGACTCTTTAAACAGATCATGAGTCAATCCAGAGATTCGCATGACTGATGATCTGGTTATCTCTTTTGATCCCTGCTTTCTAATTTATCATTGCTGCATCACAAGTGAGGACATGACAAAACAAACAGGATTATTTCCTGTGTATTTTTATAGACGCAGTTTATGGAATTTGATTTGAGTAATTTCCAGCTCTGGATAAGTAAAAAAAATGAAAAAAAAAAATATTTGTGTTTCCAGATAATTTCCTCTATTCAGTTTTCTAAAATATAAAATGAATCACTTCTAAAAATAAATGTATCATACAAGTAGAGTGATTTCATGTCAAAAGCTTAGTGAATGTTTAGTCACTTTAAAACCTGAATTAATCAACGAGTACATTTTCATTATGCAAACTGTTTGTCTTTCTTTACCACAAGTGAGTTTATTTCGAACTTCACTAAACGAATGTGCGACAGATAAACCAGCAACAAATAAAGGAGCAAATCATTTAATTCAGACTGTACTTTGCTGTAACATCAATCCACATTTACAATAACAAACTGGTTTCTTCTCTTTATGTATGAGCATATCACTTTGAGAAAACCAATGAAAAAATAAGCTGAGAAAATATTTAAAGATGATGGCACTATATACCAAATATAATGCACATTATTTTATCTGGTCTGAAAATTTGAGTCAAGAAAAGTAAGGAATTTTGAATTTGTAAATGTAGGAACCTTGTGTAAAACAAACCAGGGATGAGAATCACAACAGCGACAAATTGTTGTTCCTGGACTTGTTGTGAACGTTTTGTGTTGTTCTTAAAAATAAATAATTTTCTGAGTCCATATAAACTTTAAACACCTTAAGAAGAACCCATGACTCACATTAGTTTTAGAATCATTTGTCATTTAATATTTGCATTTTTCCACCTTCACAGGTCAAATATAAGAAGGACTATGAGAAGACCAAAGCGGTGTGCGATTACAACGTTCTCCCTGCTACAGAGAACCCCCTTCTCAGACAGCTGAGATACGCAGGCACCATCTTGAGTGATGTATGTTGATTCAGATCGTAATTATTATACTGTAGTGGTCTGCATTGGCAGGACATTTGTATGGTCTATTAAGAGGACTTCACTAAGGTTTCTCATACTAAATATTGCCATCCGACAGCTGAAATAATTTATTTAGGGAAATACTATATTTACAAAGCCAAAGTGATTTTTCCCCCGTCTTTTTTTGTTGATGCTTGATGTTATAGTGTTAATAATGAGTTAATGAAGGCATGGATTATAGCTTTATTAGTGTAAGTATTAGTTAGTGTAAACATGTAGTTGATAAAAAAAAACTGGATGGATTTATCTGTGTTGCCACTTTTGGTATGATTTATCCATGTTGCCACTGTTGGCACATACATGGTATGATTTGATCTGTTGTATGATATGATGTATGTGTATTTTGAAACATTTTCCTCTCCAAATTGCAAATTCGAATTTCCATCTCAAATTGTTGGCTAATTTCTGACATTCCTTTCTTTTGTCTTTTCCAGAAAGTATATAAAGCTAGTTATGAGAAATCAAGGGGATTCAGCATCAATTACTGCGACACTCCCAAATTCAAGATGGACAGTGTATTGAAGAAGTTCAGTGATGTAAGTGATAATTTCACCATTTGCTGCAAACATTTCATATATCCTCACCTCTCAAGGTTTTATCGTTCTCTTTCCTCAGTCACATTATAAAGAGAAGTATGAAAATCAGGTGAAGGGTCATTACATTGGTAGCTATGAAGATATTTTTACAGTTCACTGCCGGAAACTGGAAGAAATGAAGAATGATGTAAGTTTCCATATTGTGGATATGCATATATTTTCATCTTCTTGATCACAAAAAAATGTATTTGTGTATCCACATTTGCTTTCTTTCTCTTTTAAAAGCAAAACTACAAAGCTGATTATGAGGACATAAAGACAAGATGTTTCTTTCCTCAAACTATTACACCAGAATACGAAGTCAATAAGAAGCTTGAACAATGTAAAGATGTAAGTACATAAACTCCCTTTAATGGCTTGAATACAGAACCTGACTTTACGTGATGTTTGTTTGCGTGTTTTTCTTTTAGAAAGTTTATCGTCAACATCCCGACAAGGTGAAGTTCACACAGGTGACAGACTCACCTGTTCAATTGCAAGCTGCCATCAACGCCCACCAGTTGAGTGATGTACGTAAAAAGATTTCATTATTATGACTGAATAAAACCAAAAAATGTGTGAAAAGTTTACTAGGTGATTTATGGACTCTGTTGAATCGTAATGTTGTCCTAGAACAATCCCCTCATTCATCATTAGAGCACAATTGCTGCTGACAATAGAGTCAATCCCTAGACATATTATTAGAACTGTTGTTTGTGCTATTTCGAGTGAAAGTTGCAGGCAGTCAATGCCTAACAAACAACTAAAACCAAGAAACCGATGAACACCACAACCATTGAGCACTATGGAAACACTGTATTTACTAGGGAAATATGTACCAAAATAATAATATAAAATAATAATATATGTGATATACCGCGATTCGCCTATTAATATGATTTATATATGTGTAATATATACATATTAAGATGTCGAATTTTATCATTAATACTTTTTTTCTTTTCTTTTCTACAGCTCAACTACAAGCAAAAGTATGAGAAGGAGAAGTTTAAGTGTAACCTCCCTCCTGATTACCCTTTCTTCATTCAATCTAGAGTTAATGCGTATAACCTTAGTGATGTGAGTCCATTCAAACTGCCTTTTAATTGATGAAATGCTGTTCCTGAGTTCATAACATTAGATTGAACTGAAACCTGACCATAATACACTATTTTGTATTCACTGGAATGGTTCTCTATTTCATGTTCACAGACGTGTTACAAGTTTGAATGGGACAAAACAAAAGCAAAGAAATTTGAGGTGAAAGGAGATGCGATTTCAATCCTTGCAGCCCGTGCTCACACTAACATTGCTAGTGATGTAAGTAAAAGGGATATTTGGGGTTTTTCCTTGGCAGATTTCAGGCCATTGTGACACTGGTGTGGTTTTTAATGTTAGGTGAAATACAAGAAGGAATATGAGAAGAACAGAGGACATATGGTTGGGGCCCTCAGCATCAATGATGACCCCAAGATCATGCACTCAGTACATGTTGCTAAGATACAAAGTGAGGTACGGTTCAACAAGCACATCACTGATAACTTCTATTCACAATCCTAATGCTTGTTTTAAGTACTAAAAGTCCATTTTTTGATCCTCTGAAATACAGCGTGAGTACAAGAAAGACTATGAGAAGATGAAGACCAAGTACCATGCTCCACTGGACATGATGCTTGTGACTCTTGCTAAGAAATCTCAGGCCATTGCCAGCATGTCTGGCTATAAGAAGATCCAAAACCATTACCTCCTCCCTTATGACAGCGTATCACTGGACACGGCAAAGAAGGCCAATATTATTCAGAGTGATGTAAGGATCCCTGCAGCTCTTACACACTAGAATGAGCACAAAAGTTTAGTTTTAACAAGTGCAGTTTTCATTTCTTACCTTAAAGATTTCCTGATGAAGTTTAGGTGGGACTTCGAAAAGCTTGTCTTTCAAAAAAAAATAAATAAATGATTAAATAAGCCAAAAGCCAATAGCTTTTCTTGACAGAAGTCTTACATTACATTTTTAATATGAATTTTAGCATTTGGTAACCCAACTGATCTCCCCAATGTGTGGTATCAGGCTGAGGGGATGTTGTTGTTGTTCTAAAATATTTAAGTACACCAAATTTCCGAGCATTGAGTTATCTATAGATTTTGATGTATTTTTGTCTATTTTTATCTTGAAAGAGAAAGAAATTAAATTTTTCATTCATATATCTGCTAAACAATCTTTTTAGGAGCATCTATTCCAAAAGACTTGGATTAAAATCACGATCACAATGATCACAAATCACGATTTTAACTTGATGAGGTCTTTAAAGTACAGACTGTTTCTATTTCAAATTCTATTTCTGTTTCTAAGCATTTTATAAGCTAAATAATTTTGTTTTTCAATTTAGTTATGTTTTTGATCATTAACTAGAAAAGTGATACTTTTTGTGATGCTTAGGATACTTTGTGAATCTTGTGATGTTTATTTGTCTCAACATTTGTAACCACAGAATGAATACAAGTCAGACTACAATAACTACGTCAAAGGAACGCCTTGGGTCCCTTATGGCTCCATGGACGTTGAGAAGTGCAAAAAATCTGGGCAGATCTTAAGTGAGGTATGGCACTTCAGAAAGAGGCAAAGTTTTCTTAATCTAAATTGGATTTATGTTGTCATCAATCATGTAATATTTATATTTTTCTCTTACTTAGAAAAAGTACAGGCAGCAACCAGACACTGTACCTTTTACTGCTATAGATGACCACCCTCTTCAGCTGCAGGCTAAGGCCAACCAGATGATAAGAAGTGATGTAAGGGAAAACAACCCAACCAAACTTGGTTAAATGTTATTCTGAATAATGCCAAACCAGCACATTAATGTGAAATTGTGAATATTTTCCTCACTATAGCTGCACTATAAGAAAGGTCTAGATAAAGTCCATCAGAAGTACTCCCTGCCTCATGATGTTCCACAGTTCATTCAGGCCAAGTGTAATGCCTACAACATAAGTGATGTAAGTGGAAATGTCTTAATGTGTTTTATGATATTTGGCATGTTATGTTGGCATGCAAAAGTGACTCTGTTTATCTATTGTGTATCTGCTTTTTCAGAAATGCTATAAGGTTGAATGGCTGAAGACTATTGCAAAGGGGTATGATCTGAAGCCTGACGCCATACCCGTAAAAGCTGCGAAGGCAGCCAGACATGCTGCTAGTGATGTAAGTGGTGTGCCCCTTTCATGGAGAGTGATGGATGAAAAAGTGCAGTGTGGGACCGAATGATATTAAATACACTGTTTATTTATGATGATGCCTTTCAGGTTCAGTATAAGAAGCAGTATATGAAGGACAGAGGCCACCATGTTGGCTTCCGGAGCCTCCAGGACGACCCCTTGCTGGTGCATTACATGGAGGTGGCTAAGATGCAAAGTGAGAGGAACTACAAAAAGGATTACCACAAATCCAAGCTGAAGTACCACACCCCCGTGGACATGTTAAGTGTGGTGCAGGCCAAAAATGCCTCCAAGGTTCAGACATATGCAGGATACAAGCAGAATTTACACAATTACACCCTGCTTCCTGATGCCATGAACCTGGCATTAGCTCGCTCCATGAACATCAGCTCCAGTGATGTAAGTTCATCATTTTTAGACCCATGCATCCCACCTGGAGGGGGTAGCTCATAACTTGTGTGATCTTTATTACAATTGAAGTACAGTTGAATAAACAAAGGATTGAACATTTTGTTTTCTTGTCTCTCAGGTTGAGTACAAGAGTGAGTACAACTGCACAGTAAAGGGCATGGGATGGGTACCCATTGGTTCATTGGGAGTAGAGACTGCAAAGATTGGAGGAAAGATCTTGAGTGATAACAAGTACCGCACTCACCCCTCCAACTACAAGTTCCACAAACTTATGGACTCTATGGATCTCACATTGGCTACTGCCAACAATAAGATCATGGACAAGGCAAGCCTAGATTATGTTTATTTCCATTGGTTTGACTGGTGAAAAATTAATCGTCAATCAATGAACATTTAAATGCTTTTGTTTGCAGAAATCCTACCTTGCTGCCTGGGAAAAGGACAAGCTTAAGATTCATGTGATGCCTGACAGTCCTGAAATTGTCCTGGCCAAGGCCAATTCATTGAACATGAGCCAGGTATGATTCACAACACTGACTTTTGCATTTCATCAAAATAGTCTCAATAATAATCATAGCAAAAAAACACCAGTGCAGTATATTTCATTGCATTTTCTATGTATTTTCAGAAACTCTACAAAGCTGGCCTTGAGGAAATGTACAAAAAGGGCTATGATCTCAAACCAGATGCTATTTCGATTGTGGCTGCCAAAGCCGGAAGGAATATTATTAGCAATGTAAGTATCCCATCAGCCATTGTCCTCTTGCTCTTTTACTTGCTCTTATATTGCATGTTTGCAAAAATCCTTGATGTGTTGGAATCTTTTCTGATTAATCCATGTTTCTGCCATTACAGTACAAGTATAAACTGGCATATGAGAAGGCCAGAGGCCACCATGTTGGCTTCCGTAGCCTCCAGGACGACCCCTTGCTGGTGCATTACATGGAGGTGGCTAAGATACAGAGTGAGAGGAACTACAAAAAGGATTACCACAAATCCAAGCTGAAGTATCACACCCCTGTGGACATGTTAAGTGTGGTGCAGGCCAAAAATGCATCCAAGGTTCAAACAAATGCAGGATACAAGCAGCACCATCACAACTATGTCCTCCTTCCTGATGCCATGCACATTGGACTGGCTCGCAACATGATGGAGATCCAGAGTGATGTAAGAATGACTGAAAAAGGATATGTGGTCCTTTTATTGTAAACCGGGAATGATTACTTGTGTTTTGGAAAAAAAAATGCTTAACAGTAATTTTTTTATCTCTTCAGAATTTGTACAAATCAGATTTCAACCAGATCTTCAAAGGAGCAGGCTGGGTTCCCATAGGTTCTATAGATGTTGAGAGGGCTAAGGCTGCCAATAAAGCCCTTGATGAGAAGTCATACAGAATTCACCCCAGTGCATTGAAATTCACCAGTCTAACAGACCAGATGAACATGGTTTTGGCCATGAGCAACACAAAACTACAAAATAAAGTAAGAGTACTTCAATGATCTATTCTGAATGATAACCACAGTGATGCTATAGAACTGACTCACAAGTTCTTGTTTTATTTTTATTGCATTTTAGACGGCCTATAAAGCCTCTGGAGAGAAATTCATGCACACATACAATCTACCAGCTGATGCCCCAGAGTTCCTCCAGGCCAAATATAATGCCCAGACTATGAGTGAGGTAAATGAAGTGAACTGCAAATGACAAAATGTTTGTATGTTCTGTGTATGTACATAGTGTTTAATTGTAATGGAAAATACAGTCTAAATTGAATAAAATAGAAACGCTTATTTGTAGGGTTCTATGTGTTAATATTAGATATTATGGAATCAAAATGAAAAAAAAAAATCATTTTACAGCATTTATTAATCTTGGCTTATTTTAGTTCTTAATGCATTACCTAATGATAACATATACCTTTTTTATGGTTAAATTGTGTAGAAATGAAATGCTTTAAAAGTTTTGGTCATTGATAGTTTAAATTAATTATTGCAGTGACACTTTTTCTTAACATATGCAGTCTTTACCACTGAAGTGTTTAAAAGTGTTTTTCTTGTAAATGTATTTTTTTCATATCATATTTTTTTTCTAATTGTTTTTTTATTTATATAGTATGACCAGATCAGTTCATTACATTTAATTTATTAAAGTAAAATGTATTTATTTGTTTTGAAAGACTAATATAATGTAGATATTAACAAAAATCTTATTTTTTATAGTCACACTACAAGGCTCAGTGGCTTGCAGACATTGCCAAAGGCTATGACATGAAACCTGATGCTATTTCCATTCTTGCTGCTAAACAAGGAAGGCACATTGCCAGCAATGTAAGTGCAAAGTGCATCTTGCATTCAAATGTTTGAAAGGCCTGTTTAGCAGGTCCGAAAAATCTAAACCAATCAATTATATAAATTAATATACTGGACTGATTAGAATTTATTGTTCTTTGATCATAGTATCAATACAAAAAAGCATATGAAAAGGCCAGAGGCCACCATGTTGGCTTCCGTAGCCTCCAGGACGACCCCTTGCTGGTGCATTACATGGAGGTGGCTAAGATACAGAGTGAGAGGAACTACAAAAAGGATTACCACAAATCCAAGCTGAAGTACCACACCCCCGTGGACATGTTAAGTGTGGTGCAGGCCAAAAATGCCTCCAAGGTTCAGACATATGCAGGATACAAGCAGAATTTACACAGTTACACCCTGCTTCCTGATGCCATGAACCTGGCATTAGCTCGCTCCATGAACATCAGCTCCAGTGATGTAAGTCCATCATTTTTAGACCCATGCATCCCACCTGGAGGGGGTAGCTCATAACTTATGTGATCTTTATTACGATTGAAGTACAATTGGATAAAAAAAGGATTGAACATTTTGTCTGTTATCTCCTAGGTTGAGTACAAGAGTGAGTACAACAGCACAATGAAGGGCATGGGATGGGTACCTATTGGTTCATTGGGAGTAGAGACTGCAAAGATTGGAGGAAAGATCTTGAGTGACCACAAGTACCGCACTCACCCCTCCAACTACAAGTTCCACAAACTCATGGACTCTATGGATCTCGAATTGGCTACTGCCAACAATAAAATCATGAACAAGGCAAGCCTAGATTCTGTTTCTTTTCATTGGTTTGACTGGTGAAAAATAAATCGTCAATCAATGTTCATTTAAATCCTTTTGTTTGCAGAAATCCTACCATGCTGCCTGGGAAAAGGACAAGCTTAAGATTCATGTGATGCCTGACAGTCCTGAAATTGTCCTGGCCAAGGCCAATTCATTGAACATGAGCCAGGTATGATTCACAACACTGACTTTTGCATTTCATCAAAATAGTCTCAATAATAATCATGGAAAAAAATAAATTAAAAAAAAAAACACCAGTGCAGTATATTTCATTGCATTTTCTATGTATTTTCAGAAACTCTACAAAGCTGGCCTTGAGGAAATGTATAAAAAGGGCTATGATCTCAAACCAGATGCTATTTCGATTGTGGCTGCCAAAGCCGGAAGGAATATTATTAGCAATGTAAGTATCCCATCAGCCATTGTCCTCTTGCTCTTTTACTTGCTCTTATATTGTGTGTTTGCAAAAATCCTTGGTGTGTTGGAATCTTTTCTGATTAATCCATGTTTCTGCCATTACAGTACAAGTATAAATGGCATATGAGAAGGCCAGAGGCCACCATGTTGGCTTCCGTAGCCTCCAGGACGACCCCTTGCTGGTGCATTACATGGAGGTGGCTAAGATACAGAGTGAGAGGAACTACAAAAAGGATTACCACAAATCCAAGCTGAAGTATCACACCCCCGTGGACATGTTAAGTGTCGTGCAGGCTAAAAATGCCTCTAAGGTTCAGACATATGCAGGATACAAGCAGCATTTCCATAATTACACCCTGCTTCCTGATGCCATGAACCTGGCATTAGCTCGCTCCATGAACATCAGCTCCAGTGATGTGAGTCATACTCTTTGACTTTACTTGTCATTTTTTTTAGCAAAGCTTTAACTTCTGTCAATATAAATTGTCTAAATGAAACGTGTGTTTTTCAGGTTGAGTACAAGAGTGAGTACAACTGCACAGTGAAGGGTATGGGATGGGTACCCATTGGTTCATTGGGAGTAGAGACTGCAAAGATTGGAGGAAAGATCCTGAGTGACCACAAGTACCGCACTCACCCCTCCAACTACAAGTTCCACAAACTCATGGACTCTATGGATCTCGAATTGGCTACTGCCAACAATAAAATCATGAACAAGGTAGGTTACACTTTTGTAATTAACTCTTATAATAATTATAAATTCTGAGATTTTCTAATGGATTATGTGGCTGGTCCCATTAATAAATAATATTTCAATTTATTTTATTGCAGCAAGCTTACACGGATGCTTGGAACAAGGACAAGTTAAAGATCCATGTCATGCCTGACAGTCCAGAAATCATTCTTGCAAAAGCTAATGCTATCAACATGAGTGAGGTAGGTGTAATCTTTAAATTGTTTCCAGAGACTTTGTCTGCTTTCCTGGAACTAACTAATATATAATCTAATTAATATTAATATGTCATTTCCCTATGTTTGGCAACAGCCTAAAGTTTGGATAAGGATGTATATTTTGTGGTGGAAGACTTGTTTATTCCTATAATTATTGACACCTTTGAGCATTGGTGTCTTCTATTATGATGACGTTGTTGTCATTTTGTAAAATAAATGAGGTAAGTTATGCCTGAGAACGTGTATAACCTGTACTGAAATTACATTTTGACTACAGAAAGCCTACAAAGCAGGACTGGAAGCCCTGAAAAAGAAAGGTTATGACCTCAAGGCAGATGCTGTATCAGTGATTGCGGCCAGGACCTCCACAAACATTGCCAGTGATGTGAGTTTTTTCAAATAGAAAATCAAATGTTTCTGTCTCTAGCATTATCCAAGCATTACCAGTTCTGACTTCTACATATAATTTTCATTACAGTACAAGTACAAAAAGGAGTACAATAAAGCAAGAGGCCATCATATTGGCTTCCGTAGCATCAAGGACGATCCCTTGCTGGTGCACTACATGGAGGTGGCTAAGCTACAGAGTGATAAACTATACAAGAAGGATTACCACAAGGCCAAGCTGAAGTACCACTCCCCCGTGGACATGTTGAGCGTTGTTCATGCTAAGCAGGCTACGGCTGCTCAGACCTTTGCTGGATACAGGCATATTGTTGCACATAATAAAGTTCTGCCTGATGCCATGAACCTTGTACTAGCCCGCAACATGCAGACGATCGCAAGTGATGTGAGTCGGGATCTTTGCATTTTCTTATGTTTTAATGTCTTTTTTTAAATTTGTTTTTACATGGTAGATATGACAGCATTCCTTCTCATTCTGCAGAACATCTACAAATCTGAGTACAACAATTACATCAGAGGAGTTGGATGGATTCCCATTGGATCTCTGGATGTGGAGAAAGCAAAACTTGCTGGCCGGATAGGCAGCGAGAAACAGTACCGCACACCTGCCAGTAACCACAAGTTCACTAAAGATATGTCTTCTATGGATCTAGTCCTTGCTGCAGCCAACAATGACATCAACAACAAGGTGAAAATTGAAATCATTTGAATTGACACTGCGCATTGCTTTTGATTATCTTGAATATTATGTTTCGTCGACTGACTTTCTTTTAGTGACATAATTAATAATAGCCAGTATGAATTGACTGACCCATTTATTCTTTCTACAGCAAAAGTATATTTCAGCCTGGGAACAGGACAAAACCAAAATTCACATTATGCCAGATTCGATGGAAGTGACTCTTGCTCGTCAAAATAAAGCTAATTACAGTGAGGTTAGTGAATCCATCAGATTCAAAATTGTTGATTGATTGCAAGTATAATAGTAAATAATCTTTTCTTATTCTCCTTTAGAAACTTTACAGACTTGCCAATGAACAGGCAAAGAAAAAAGGTTACGATCTACGCGCTGACGCTATTGCAATTCAAGCTGCTAAAGCATCATCTGCCATTGCTAGTGATGTAAGTTTTTCCTCCTTATTGGACCCATCATAGGATTACTGTGTACTTATCGGAAAGTAATAGATGTTTTAATGGACTTTTCACAGTACAAGTACAAGACTGGTTATCGTAAGCAAGTTGGTCATCACATTGGAGCCCTCAGTGTCCAGGATGATCCTCTGCTCATGCTGGCCTTGAACTCAGCTAGAATTGCTAGTGATGCTCTCTACAAGAAGGACTTCAACAAGTCCAAGACCAAGTTCAACCTCCCAGTGGACATGATAGCTTTTGAGTTGGCCAAGAAGAACCAGATCCAAGTCAATGATGCCAACTACAGAACCTACCTGCACAACTGGACCTGCCTGCCAGACTCCAATGACGTCGTCCAGGCCAGACAAGTCTATGACATCCAGAGTGATGTATGTCAGAATTTACTGCACTTTTATACATGTATAAATAAGGTTAAAGGGTCATCCGTATGAGGCTTGTGTAGGCACTCTTTTCACACATATCTGATCTTAGGCGGTGTACAAAGCTGATCTGAAGTGGCTAAAAGGTCTCGGATGGGTCCCCATTGGTTCGATTGATGTTGAGAAGGTGAAAAAAGCTGGAGAAATCCTAAATGAACAGAAGTACCGTCAGCACCCAAGCAACTTCAAGTTCACTTGCACAACTGAAGATATGCCACTGGTCTTGGCTAAAGCCAATAATGACATCATGAACAAGGTACTGTAGCTGTACATTTGATATCTAAACACATTTGGGACAATTCTAAAATATTGTTTTTGATAATTTTGGTGTATAATTCTCTCTCCATTCCGGCAGTCAAAATATGTTGAAGCTTGGAACAGTGAAAAAACAAAGGTTCACATCATGCCAGATGCAATGGACGTGGTTCTTGCCAAGCAAAACAAAGTCATCTATAGTGAGGTCAGTTTTTCATATTTAAAATTGAATGCTTAGTTGTATACCAAAGTATTTCCAGTTGTAAAACAGAAACAAATATTATAAATTTTGACTATGAGACATAGACAGATTAAGAGCAATGATCATTGCTTTTATTTGAAGACAACAAAGGATACATTATATTCTGCTTTTCCCACAAGTTTGTTGAAATATTTTGTGTGATTTGGTCTTCAGAAACAATATAAACTCGCCCATGAACTGTCCAAGAAGAAGGGTTATGATATGCGCAGTGATGCCATATCTATCATCGCTGCCAGAGCCTCCAGAGACATTGCTAGTGACGTAAGTACAAGAAACTGATAAGGTAATATATGACACATTGAGGATATAATTTGCTACACTGAGAGTATTTTCTTTCCTTGCAGTACAAGTACAAGACTGGTTACCGTAAGCAAGTTGGTCATCACATTGGAGCCCGCAGCATCCAGGATGATCCTCTGCTCATGCTGGCTTTGAACTCAGCGAAGATTGCTAGTGATGCTCTCTACAAGAAGGACTTTAACAAATCCAAGACCAAGTTCAACCTCCCAGCGGATCTGCTGTCTCTTGAGTTGGCCAAGAAATGTCAGATCCAGGTCAATGATTTCAACTACAGAACCTACCTGCACAACTGGACCTGCCTGCCCGACTCCAATGACGTCGTCCAGGCCAGACAAGTCTATGACATCCAGAGTGATGTATGTGATATCCATCTTCTGTTGATCCATTTATGCATTTCTGGATCTTCATGGAATTGACTTTCCATTTTGTTTTTTTTAGCTTGTAGCCAGTATGCATAAGTGTTATTAAAATAGAAAAAAGGATTGCTTGAGTCCCTAGAGATGAGACATAAAGAGATAAAGCTACCAAGAGACTGACAAATAAGCTGTATAGTCACTAACAGGTATTCTTTCAACATATGCTCTAAGGCTGTTTACAAGGCTGATCTAAAATGGCTTCAAGGTCTCGGATGGGTTCCCATTGGTTCTCTTGATGTTGAGAAAGTGAAAAAGGCTGGAGAAATCCTGAGTGAAAATAAGTATCGTCAGCACCCAAGCAAATTCAAATTCACCATGACAACTCAAGACATGCCGATTGTCTTGGCTAAAGCCAACAATGATGTCATGAACAAGGTAACTGCTGATCAGATATTGCATATGCATGTGCAGTTTTCTCATTTATTTAATTTTTTAAGTGTAAAAGTGTATAGACAGTTGATGTGTGGATGTGAAGTATTTGTCTTATTTTTTCCATTTCATGCTCCTATTTGATAGCAACAATATGTTGACGCCTGGAACAAAGACAAAACAAAGATTCATCTTATGCCAGATGCTATGGACATTGTACTAGCAAAACAAAACAAGACCAACTACAGTTTGGTAAGTATGACACAACATTAGCCCCTAATGGTGTATAATGAATGTCCTTGATTAACAATTTCTTCTAAAATAATTGTTTATTTATTGTTAATAATGTTTTCTAAGAATTCATACAAGCTTGCAAACGAGGAAGCTAAAAAGAAGGGCTATGACCTGCGAAGTGATGCCATCGCCATTAAAGCAGCCAAGGCTTCCAGGGATATTATCAGCGATGTAAGTATTTTGATTGACAGCATTAAAAAGTCAACAAAACATTTCAAATCAGAAAATTAAATCATGTCTTAAACCACTCTTTCTTTTCAACAGTACAAGTACAAGACTGGTTACCGTAAGCAAGTTGGCCATCACATTGGAGCCTTAAGCATCCAGGATGATCCTCTGCTCATGCTGGCCTTGAACTCAGCTAGAATTGCTAGTGATGCTCTCTACAAGAAGGACTTCAACAAATCCAAGACCAAGTTCCACCTCCCTGTGGATCTGCTGTCTCTTGAGTTGGCCAAGAAATGTCAGATCCAGGTCAATGATTTCAACTACAGAACCCACCTGCACAACTGGACCTGCCTGCCCGACTCCAATGACGTCGTCCAGGCCAGACAAGTCTATGATCTTCAGAGTGATGTAAGGTGGTACTTAGATATGCTATATTTAGGATTTTAAAAAGTGAGATCTATATTTTTTCAAAAACATCCATTTTATACAGGCATATCATTTCTGTACATAATGGCAATGCTTTTGCTATGTTTGTTCTCAGGCGGTGTACAAAGCTGATCTTAAATGGCTCCAAGGACTCGGATGGGTTCCCATTGGTTCGATTGATGTTGAGAAGGTGAAAAAGGCTGGGGAAATCCTAAATGAAAAGAAGTACCGTCAGCACCCAAGCAACTTCAAGTTCACTTGCACAACTGAAGATATGCCACTGGTCTTGGCTAAAAACAATGCAGCCATCATGAACAAGGTAGCCTGATTTGTTCAGAATCATTACATTTCTTCTCATTTCCGTTGTTATGTGTATAGATACTTTGCATTTATGATTTTTATTTTTCTCTATACTATAGAAAAGCTATGTGGAAGCTTGGGAAAAGGATAAGACCAAGATCCATGTCATGCCAGACACAATGGAGATATTGCTTGCTAAACAGAATAAAATTAACTACAGTGTGGTGAGTCATTCGGTTCAAGTCATTGAACTGTTGATGAGAAGTTATATAGTTTTTTCCCAAATTTAATTTTGTTACTTTCTTAATAATTGTGGCCATTTGAATTCTATTATATCTAAATATAATATAATATTTCTATTGATATAACATAATTTCTTTAACTACTGTTTTTATTTCCAGAAACAATATACGCTTGCAAATGAGGAGGCCAAAAAGAAAGGCTATGACATCCGTGGTGATGCCATTTCTATTAAAGCAGCTAAAGCCTCTCGTGATATCATCAGTGATGTGAGTGCTTGTGTCCTTTCTTTATTCATAGTCATTCGTAGTTCATGGTCCAAAATGTTCTCCTAGTCTTTTATTCACTCCTATTGCCCTTATTCATTCAACTGTAGTACAAGTACAAGACTGGTTATCGTAAGCAAGTTGGTCATCACATTGGAGCCCTCAGTGTCCAGGATGATCCTTTGCTTGTGCTGGCGTTGAACTCAGCTAGAATTGCTAGTGATGCTCTCTACAAGAAGGACTTCAACAAGTCGAAGACCAAGTTCAACCTCCCAGTGGACATGATAGCTTTTGAGTTGGCCAAGAAGAACCAGATCCAAGTCAATGATGCCAACTACAGAACCTACCTGCACAACTGGACCTGCCTGCCAGACTCCAATGACGTCGTCCAGGCCAGACAAGTCTATGATCTTCAGAGTGATGTACGTCTATTTAAAGTCCTCTTGACTTTTGTTATTTCCTGCTACAATAATGTCAAATTATTCATAATATATATATTATATTCATATATTTATTATTTATTTATTTTTTGTCTGTGCAACTAGGCAGTGTACAAGGCTGATCTGAAATGGCTTCAAGGATTAGGATGGGTTCCCATTGGTTCAGTTGACGTTGAGAAAGTGAAAAAGGCTGGGGAAATCCTGAATGAAAGGAAGTACCGTCAGCACCCAAGCAACTTTAAGTTCACCCTTACTACTGAAGACATGCCACTAGTTTTAGCTAAAAACAATGCTACTAATGCAAACAAGGTAAATCTTGTCAATAGGTTTCTGAACACAAGAACTCTTACAAATACCTTCAAGTTTTAAATGTCTGACATAAAATTTTATTCAACTCTTATAGAAACTGTACACTGAAGCCTGGGAAAAGGATAAAACAAAAATCCACATTATGCCTGACTCTATGGATGTTCTATTGGCAAAGCAAAACAACATAAATTACAGTGAGGTATGTGCAGTGTATGTCTGAAATATTCACATTTTCATTTTTTTTTCTGATAACTTTAAATCTGTAAAAAAAATGTTGTTGCAATTTTAGAAAAGGTATAAACTTGCCAATGAAGAATCTAAGAAGAAGGGCTATGATTTGCGCAGTGATGCTATTGCTATCAAAGCAGCTAAGGCATCCAGGAATATCATCAGTGACGTGAGTGACTTTTTAAAAAAATAGTTTGTGTCAAAGTACACATTATTATTCACAATTACTTTCTAAAAACTTTTTATTTATTATTTTAAGTACAAGTACAAGGCTGGTTACCGTAAGCAAGTTGGTCATCACATTGGAGCCCTCAGCATCAAGGATGATCCTTTGCTCATGCTGGCTTTGAACTCAGCGAAGATTGCTAGTGATGCTCTCTACAAGAAGGACTTTAACAAATCCAAGACCAAGTTCCACCTCCCAGCGGATCTGCTGTCTCTTGAGTTGGCCAAGAAATGTCAGATCCAGGTCAATGATTTCAACTACAGAACCTACCTGCACAACTGGACCTGCCTGCCCGACTCCAATGACGTTGTCCAGGCCAGGAAGGTCTATGATCTCCGTAGCGATGTACGTTTGTCAAGCTAAAATGGCATTCAATTATTTCTACAGTTACTTTTTAATCAAATATATACTGTTTTGTTTTGCAAAGTAACATTTCCTCTTCACCTCAGGCTGTGTACAAAGCAGACATGGAGTTTATGACTGGTGTAGGATGGGTCCCCATTGGCTCGCTTGATGTCCTGAAAGCAAAGAAAGCAGCTGAGATCCTCAGCGAGCGACTTTATAGACAGAAACCACAAACATTCAAATTTAAACAAGACATGCAGTCCATGCCTTTGGTGCTTGCAAAGGCAAATGCTCAAACTATGGATCAGGTTAGTAGAATAAATGTCATATGATTGGAATCTGACTGAAATATGTCAAAAATTCTCTGGAGAACAATTTAGTCACTATCAATTACTATGTAAGGTTTACTATACATCAATTTGCATATATGACTCTTATTTTATTATTGATCGGTTGCAAGATGTTCTTATTGTCCTTAATAACAGCTGACATGGTATTGAAATTGTTGCGGACAACATGTTTTTTTTCATTCTAGCGTCAGTACCATGCAGCATGGGAGGCTGACAAGATAAAGATCCATATCCCTCCTGATATCCCAGAGGTTGTGCTCTCAAAGGCTAATGCAATTACCAATAGTAGGGTAGGTATCACTTTTGAATGATTGTTTTTTCTTCATTATATTTTTTTGTTTTAGTTGTTAAACTAAGCCTCTCAAATTCATGCATTCTGATTGATTTCCAAAATATTCCAATTTAACATTTCACTTGAAAAAACATAAAATGCTAAATAAAATTCTGCTTACAGAAACTATACAGACAAGCGGTTGAGGACATTTTCAGGAAAGGCTATGACATCAAATCCGATGCTGTCGCCATCAAAACTGCTAAAAAATCCAGAGAAATTATTAGTGATGTGAGTATAAACTGTCTAGAAGGTCACACTGATATTACAATCTGATTGATACATTATTACCCTGTCATGTAAATATAAATAGGAGACATTTTTAATGCTGCAATCATTTCTCTTGTAGTACAAGTACAAGGCTGGTTACCGTAAGCAAGTTGGTCATCACATTGGAGCCCTCAGTGTCCAGGATGATCCATTGATCATGCTTGCCTTAAATTCAGCTAAGATTGCTAGTGATGCTCTCTACAAGAAGGACTTTAACAAATCCAAGACCAAGTTCCACCTCCCAGTGGATCTGCTGTCTCTTGAGTTGGCCAAGAAATGTCAGATCCAGGTCAATGATTTCAACTACAGAACCTACCTGCACAACTGGACCTGCCTGCCCGACTCCAATGACGTCGTCCAGGCCAGAAAAGTCTATGATCTTCAGAGCGATGTGAGTTTCTGTAAAATTTGTAATTGTAAACAATAGATCTACACTACCATAATTGTCTGCTTTCTTGCTATTTATAATGTATTTTCTGCAATCAGGCTGTGTATAAGGCTGATATGGAGTGGATCAGAGGTACAGGATGGGTACCCATTGGCTCAGTTGATGTAGAGAAGGTTAAAAAGGCTGGTGAGATTCTGAGTGAAAGGAAGTACCGACAGCATCCAAGCACTTTAAAGTATACTAGCAAGACAGATTCCATACCTTTTGCTCTTGCGCAAGCCAATGCCAAGATCATGGACAAGGTATTTTTTTCATATGTATATATATATTTCATATTCTAAGTGTAAAGTTTAAAAAAATGAATTCACAGTTGCGGGTTGGGGTTGTGTAGTGCATAGGGTGCATGTGTCTAAATGTATGTGTTCATTATTATTGCATTGCAGAGTGCATATGTTGATGCCTGGAATAAGGATAAGATCCATATCCATGTCATGCCAGACACTCCTGAGATTGTGCTTGGAAAACAGAACAAACTCAACACAAGCATCGTAAGTACTGAAACACTGTTTCGTAGAGACTTATAAATCATAAATAAATGCACAATAGTTAATGTTTCAAATCCCGTTAAATCAGTAAGTGTTGATTCCCTATGTCCTTGCAGAAATATTACCGTCAAGACTATGAGAACAGCCTTAAGAAGGGCTACTTCCTGCCTAAGGATGCCGTCGCAGTGAAATCTGCCAAGGCTTCCAGAGACATCATTAGTGATGCAAGTATCATTGTGGATCTTATCTAACACATTAAACACACTCTGTTAAATGATAGTGCTCAGTTTCTTTTATGCATTAAAACCTTGCAGTACAAGTACAAAACCGGATACAGGAAGCAGCAAGGACACCACATTGGTGCCCTCAGCATCCATGATGATCCCTTAATCATGCTGGCCTTGAACTCAGGCAAGATTTCTAGTGATCTTCTGTACAAGAAGGACTTTAACAAATCCAAGACCAAGTTCAACCTCCCAGCGGATCTGCTGTCTCTTGAGCTGGCCAAGAAATGTCAGATCCAGGTCAATGATGCCAACTATAGAACCTACCTGCACAACTGGACCTGCCTGCCCGACTCCAATGATGTCGTCCAGGCCAGGAAGGTCTACGATCTGCACAGTGATGTATGTATATGATTAGTTTCACACACTGTGCTTTTTACATTGGTTTGTTATATTACTAAATTAACATCTTTGTTGTAAACTTCCAAACTAGGCTGTATACAAAGCTGACCTTGAGTGGATCCGTGGGTGTGGCTGGATAACGCAAGGATCCGTTGATGTCGTCAAAGCCAAGAATGCTCAGACGATCCTCAACGAGAAACTGTATCGCCAGCCTCCCAGTACTGTCAAGTTCACCAGTGCGGTGGACTTGCCGGTCATCGTCTTAGCCAAGCAAAATGCTGAAATCCTCAGTGATGTAAGATTATTGCCTTTCCTTTAGTACTTCACTCAGATTTTACAGTTGAAGACTGCTTAGAAATCGAAAATGAAGCATAAAAATGAATAGCACAAACACTTGGTAAAATTATTATTAATCAAAACATTTAAATATTGGAAGAATATAGTTGCAGTAGTTATGATAGTAATTACTATTATGTGTACAGTTAGTTATAAATGTAAATTCTTTCTAAATTAGTGTAATAGACTTGTGAATTGAATTGTGTCGTTTTTTATTTTTGCGTCAATGTGTGCCAAATAAAGCTCTTAACCTTTTTTTTTTCTTGAATTACTTTTTGTTCACAGAGAAAATACAGAGAAGCATGGGAAAAAGATAAGACATCTGTCCACATCATGCCTAATACACCCGCCATCGAGTTGTCCAGAGCCAATGCCATTGCTGTCAGCAATGTAAGCAAACTCACATGCAGAATCCCTAAAAGTATTGCTAAAAGTAACTTTATTTTATGAACTTATTATGCAATTAAACTATTGGGTAACACTTTCCACATTTTTGTCCTATTGCAGAAAATGTATACTAAATCCTGGGATGCTGGAAAGGCAAAGGGGTACCTGATCAAAGAGGATGCCATTTCTGTGCTCAAGGCTAAAGCCTCCAGAGACATAGCCAGTGACGTAAGAAAACGCAAAGTCATGTTTGTTCTGTCTGTTTTCTAAATTTTGTAATATTTTCTCTCTCTTATATTGTGAAAGGTTTTGATTAGATATCTTTAATTTTGGCTAACGTTTCAACACCCATGGTCTTCCTCAGAGTCAAAAGTGACTTCAGAGTCAAGAGTCTTTTAACTCTGCAGAAGACGCATGAGTGTCGAAATGTTAGTCATTTTATTAATAAAATAAATTAAAACGTTCTGTGCTCCGGTTCTGCTCCTTGGTCTTAACTTAGACCTTGGGTTGTTTGATTTGATTCCTGTGTCCTGTTCCGTGAGCACAAACTAGGGCTAGGCTGAAGCGCAAGTGATCCCTTTCTAATCTTTAATTTTGGCTTTGAAATGTTCTCCTTTGTTATTTAAGAGTAATGTAAATAAGAATACTTCAAATCTTTCAAATGCAGTACAAGTACAAGGCTGGTTACCGTAAGCAAGTTGGTCATCACATTGGAGCCCTCAGTGTCCAGGATGATCCTTTGATCATGCTTGCCTTGAACTCAGCGAAGATTGCTAGTGATGCTCTCTACAAGAAGGACTTTAACAAATCCAAGACCAAGTTCAACCTCCCAGCGGATCTGCTGTCTCTTGAGTTGGCCAAGAAATGTCAGATCCAGGTCAATGATGCCAACTACAGAACCTACCTGCACAACTGGACCTGCCTGCCCGACTCAAATGACGTTGTCCAGGCCAGAAAAGTCTATGATCTGCGTAGTGATGTGAGTTGAGCTTTGATTAAACAGTTAAATTGGTTCCATTGAAAAAAAATCCAGGAAATAGTGTGATGCTTTCTTTCATTTGATTGTTTTTGTTGTTTAGGCTGTTTACAAGGCTGACTTGGAGTGGCTCAGGGGATGTGGATGGATTCCCCATGAGTCTGTTGAAGTTATCAAAGTGAGGAATGCCCAAAAGATTCTGGCTGACGTAAGTCCTTTGGCACTATATACTGTAGCTATTTATATAAATGAGTTTATGCAACACAGAGGTGTAATTGATTATTATTATTATTTTTTTTTTTTCTGATTCACAGAGAGGCTACCGTGTGAAGCTGGATGATCAGAAATATACAACACCCATTGAAAGAATTGACTTTGTGTGCTCCAAAAACGCAGCTGAAGTGCTCAATGAGGTAAGCAATATGACATCATTTGCAATCATCCTCATACAAAGGAAAACAACAATGATAAACAATGATAAAATGTCAATTACGGTTAAAGGAACACTCCGACTTTTTGGGACTTTAGCCTATTCACCTTATCCCCCAGAGTTAGATAAGTCCATACATACCTTTTTCATCTCCGTGCGTGCTATAAGTCTGTTTGACGCATCCACCGCTAGCCTAGCTTAGCACAAAGACTGGATGTGAATGGTTGCAGCTTTCATACTAATCCAAATGAGTGACAAAATAACGCAAACGTTTTCCTATTTACATGTTGTGGTTTGTATAGTCGCAGACTGTACAAATATCAAGGCCATATGAGACATAGACATCTTTTAACCGAATAAATACTATTTTCTGAAGGCGAAGCACTGCTACTTGGGCAGAGTGATAACCATGAGACGCACCGTGACGAGGAGCAGAGTGTTCGCTCAGTGTTGGAGTAAAGAGTCAGCAATTACTAATGTTAGATAGAAAAGCATAGTTTATCATGGGTGTTTGCTTTATTGTATGAGCTGTGACAATAAACAGGGGAGACCAGGTAATATAGTACCATGTTTCATTGAATTCCAACCAAAAACACATCCAGATTTATAAATATCACAGAACATGAATAAATAATTATTATTACAGGAATCAATATATTTTAAATGCAATTTATTAGCTGAACCAAATGTATTCAACAGCATATAATATAGCCTACAGTATAATTGCATTACTATAGGATAGAATAAGGGGAAAGTAATAGCACAAATTGTTTTTGCACTCACAGCCTATCGTACCCTTTTGCACGCTCAAGTTCGTTATTTCCATGGTTATTTCAAATTTAGGCTACTAGGCGCGCCGCGCGCAGGGTGCAAGTTCAACGCGCTCGTTTTTTTCCAAGCGCGTCCGCGCCGCATCAAGATAAAAACATATTCATACCCTAATCATATAATAGTGTCACTAACGTTACATCAGATCTGGCTAATGGCACTGTTACAGTAGGTCATCTAAAAACATAACGGAACACTTACCTCAGCCGCAGGTGATCCACTGTCCTGTCTGTGCTATAGATGGGATGGCCGTATCCTTCAGCACATTATGGTCCGTGTGGCAAATTCCATTTTTTCAAAATAGTCGTCCTCATTGAAATGTACCGAGCAAACATAATGTCCCTTGATAATCTATTTAGGTGTGTTTGGATCAATATCCAGAGTAAGTAAGTAAGCCATTTCTTCATCCAGTCAGCGTTTTTAGTTGGAATTCTGTGAAACATGGTATTACCTCCCCTGTTTACTGTCGCAGCTATTTACAATAGAGCGAAAACCCATGACTCTAAACTACGCTTTTACTATTTATTAATTTCTGACTCTGTTACCCAAACTCTGAGCGAACTCTCCTCACCACTGCGTGTCTCAGGTGATGCGGTTATCACTCCGCCAAAGTAGCAGTGCTTCGCCTTCAGAGAATAGTTCCCAGGTTTTATACGGTTAAAAGATGTCTGTGTCTCATTTGACTTTGTTATTTGTACACTCTGCGACTATACAAATCACAACATGTAAATAGGAAAATGTTTGCGTTATTTTGCCACTCATTTGGATTAGTATGACAGCTGCAACCATTCACATCCATTCTTTGTGCTAAGCTAGGCTAGCGGTGGATGCGTCAAACAGACTTTATAGCACGCACAGAGATGAAAAAGGTATGTATGGACTTATCTAACTCTGGGGGATAAGGTGAATAGGCTAAAGTCCCAAAAAGTCGGAGTGTTCCTTTAATGTTTAATGTTCATTTAACGAAACGAGAAATTAAATAGCCATCATCAAACAATGTACTGTGTTTATGCAAGTAGTTTCCATACATGTAAAGCAAAAATAACTTTCAGTTTCAAAGCCATATCATTGAGATGTTTCCTAATATTGACACAGGGTGATATTGGCCTGCAGCCATATCATCCTGTAGCCCCAGACTGATTGCCCACTGAAGCTAAGCAGGGTTGAGCCTGGTCAATACTTGGATGGGAAACCTCCTGGGAAAAACAGGTTGCTGCAGGAAGAGGTGTTAGTGGGGCCAGCAGGGCGTGCTATCCCTGTGGTCTCTGTGGGTCCAAACGCCCCAGTATAGTGATGGGGACAATATTCTGTCAAATAGCACCTTAGTCCTTTGGATAAGACGTTAAAGTAAACCGAGGTCCTGACTCTCTGTGGTCATTAAAAATCCCAGGATGTCCTTTGGAAAAAAAAAAAGTTGGGGTTTTAACCCTGGCATCCTGGCCAAATCTATCCCCTGTCCATCATGGCCTCCTAATCATCCCCATACATACAAATTGGCTTCATCACTGTCTCCTCTCCTCCAGTAAGCTGGTGTGTGGTGGGCGTTCTAGCGCAATATGGCTGCCGTCGCATCATCCAGGTGGATGCTGCACATTGGTGGTGGTTGAGGAGATTCCCCCCTTCTATGTAAAGCACTTTGAGTACCCAGAAAAGTGCTATATAAATGTAACAAATTGTATTTTTTTTTATATTATTTTTAATAGTGAATGAATGGAGTAAGGGATTTTTAGGGCACACTTCATGCTTGAACCTCTAATAAGCATTAGTTTTCCATGTACTCAAACAACAGAACTTTTACAGTACATATAGTTTGCAAAATCATGTTCTCTCCAAACATATGACTGTTCTCTAAGTGTCCTCTGTGTTTTGTCTTCTCAGGCTAAGTACCGTGAGGCCTGGCACCAGGACAAGACTAAATACACCTTGACAGACACCCCAGTTCTAGCTACAGCAAGAGAAGTGGCCAAAATGCATCACCCGGTAAAGCATTTTTTTTTCTTTTTGAGTAAAAATATTGTCTGTAAGAATTGTTGAATAAAAAGGTTTAATAGTAACAAAAATGACATTTTAAACATCACTTGTAGCATTTGTACACCAAAAACTGGGACAAGACCAAATCTACATCATACTTCATGCCCGGAGATGCAGTCCCGATTAAACAATGCATCAATACCAGTAAAGTGCAGAGTGATGTAAGTAAATAAATAATCCTAATCCTAAACCCATTTCACCTTAATTTTATTTATGTATGCAAATAAATCTTCCTCTTTTTTGCAGCACAAGTACAAGGCTAGTTATCGTAAGCAAGTTGGTCATCACATTGGAGCCTTAAGCATCCAGGATGATCCTCTGCTCATGCTGGCCTTGAACTCAGCTAGAATTGCTAGTGATGCTCTCTACAAGAAGGACTTCAACAAGTCCAAGACCAAGTTCAACCTCCCAGTGGACATGATAGCTTTTGACCATGCAAAGAAGTGCCAGATCCAAGTCAATGATGACAACTACCGAACTCGCTTGCACCAGTGGACATGCTTGCCCGATCAAAACGATGTTATTCAGGCCCGTAAAGCGTATGATTTAGCCAGTGACGTAAGTATTGGATGAAGATGGTTTTTAAATCAAAATTATTTTTGTCGTTTATTGAAATACGGAATCAATTTACATGTATAATGTACTGTAATAATAATCTCCCACCAGAATGTCTACAAAGCAGATCTGGAATGGTTACGTGGTTGTGGATGGGTGGCTGCTGACTGTGTAGATCATGTCAAAGTCCGAAATGCCCAAAAGATTATGAATGAAGTAAGTTTGACCACACTTTTTTGTCTAACTTCTCTGTAATAATAAAAGCTCCATTATCTTACAACAATGCACGTTTCTTTTCCCCACGCAGAGACTTTATAAGAAGGATGCTAAAGAAAACTTTAGCAAATTTACTCACATTGTGGATCGCCCTGAGGTTGTCCTTGCAAAGGTTAATGCCTTCAACCTCAGCGATGTAAGTGTGTCTCAGATGTTGTCATTTTCATCTTCATTGGGGAATACTGATGTGAAAGAGGTTAACTTGTCGACTGGGTCAATATTTTTGTTGTTACTCAGCTAAAGTACAAAGAATCATTTAACCTGGAGAAGGGTCACTACATTGGATCTGAAGATACACCACAGCTGGCTCACTCTAGAGATGTTGCAAAGATAATCAGTGAGGTAACAAAGTCCATTTCAGACATTCTAGACATGTTTGTATATGTTTTATGTGTGATGAATTGTATTTATGATGCTTTGTTGTTATTCTAGAAATTGTACAAAGTCAACTGGGATGAGACCAAAGCTACTGGTTACCAGCTGAACCATGAATATATGCCAGTACAAATAGCCAAGAGGGCCAGAGACATAATCAGTAATGTGAGTATCAAAAATGAATTAATATGAAATAAAATAGACCCTTTCCTTATTGCCACATAACATGGGTCAGTTACTGACATTTTTTTTTATTTAATAAAGTTACTTTTTAATATTATACCTATTATTGTTTGCTTCAAACACTGTTAAATACTGGTTTAGAAGGGATGATTGTTGATTCTTTCTTGTATTGAAATGCTGCAGTATAAGTACAATGAAGCCCATGAGAAAGCCAAAGGTCACTACCTGGCTTCAACTCTGGTTGACTATCCTGAGGTGATTCGCTCTGGCGATATGGAGAAGATGAAAAATCTGGTGAGTTATTTTTATTAGTTCCATGCCTGAGGTCTAAGATCACTGTACTTTGATATCCACTTGACCCATCTTATAGTTTAATTCCTCATCAACCAGACTTTTTTCAATCTGTCCATCAGAGAGACTACCACAAAGGCTACAATGAAACCAAAACGAAGCTCCACATTCCTGCTGATATGATCAGCCATGTGGTTGCCAAGAAATGCCAGGAAATCCTAAGTGATGTACTATATCGTACACACCTGCACCAGTGGACATGCCACCCTGATCAGAACGATGCCATCCGTGCACGCAAGGCCAATGAGATCTTGAGTGATGTAGGCTATGATTACAGTGATATTTTGAATGTGTCAGACCTGTTCAATGGTTACATTTGACTAATTTCTCCCTGGCAGGTGTTCTACAAAGAAGATCTGAACTGGATGAAGGGTGTTGGCTGTTACGCCTGGGACACTCCCGAGATCGTACGTGCCAAGAAATCATATGAGCTACAGAGTGATGTGAGTAACATTTTCAACTAATCTTGTAGTTTACAATAAAGACACATTATTGTGTTTCCACCTGTTTGAAGGTTATTTTTCCCCCCAAACAGATTAAATACAAAGCAGAAGGCAAAAAGGAATGGAACAACTACTCCATTGTGACAGACACCCCTGTATATGTGACTGCCATCCTGGGCCACACTTGGGCCAGTGAGGTTTGTACCCACATTAACTGATAAGTCAGATCCTTGAGTATATCAAGAGCTCTATACTCTGGAGTTTAAATGGTAATACGCTGCATATTTTATGTTTCATCTTCAGTTGAACTACAGAGAGGCATATCATAAGGAGAAGCATATTTACACCACCATTCTGGACACCCAGGAATACGCAAGATGCTTCAACCTGAAGGAGATTTACAGCACCGTAAGCCTGCGAGAAAAGCTCTAAAATCCTGAGTTCCTGGTTTTATTTGTTGTCCGAGTTCTTGAAATGTTTTTTGTGTAAATTCAGAAAGCATATTCTGCTGCTTGGGACAAGATCAAGGCCAAGAGCTACAACATCCCTCACGATTCCCATGCCTTAGCCCATGCCAAACAACAGAAGGTCATCCTGAGCAATGTGAGTCCTTTCTCCAGTCCCTTCTCCAGTGCTTACTTATGCCTCCATATTGAGGGAACTGCCTGAGTGTCATTAAACCTTCCTTGGTTTCTGTAGGTTAAATACAAGGAAGATTATGAGAAGTTCAAGACCCTGTACAGTCTGCCTAAGTGTCTTGAGGACGACCCCGCCACTGCAAGATGTATCAAAGCTGGAAAACTGGTTCTGGATGTAAGTAAAGCATCAGCTTCAGAGGTTCAGCTTTGTAACTTACCAAATGTACAAACAATTAAAAGCTCTTTGTAACATCTTTTTCATTAGCGCCTGTACAAAGACAAATATGAGAAGACCAAGGCTAAAATCAATATACCTCCCGACATGCTTGACATTGTATCCGCGCGCAGTACTCAGAAGACTGTTAGTGGGGTTGACTACCGTAAATACCTGCATCAGTGGATCTGCCTGCCTGACATGCAGGTGTACGTACATGCTCGCAAGGTCAACGAGCAACTGAGCGATGTGAGTTATCCCTACATTCAAACACGTTTGATATTTTTGTGCATTGTCAAATGCAAATGGCAAACACGTTAGGTTCCACTACCTGAGATTGTTTTGAGGTCTTTTTGTTGCTGTAACCCTGTATTATTGCATCTCATTTAGATCTTCTACAAAGATGACCTCAACTGGTTAAGGGGTATTGGCTGCTATGCTTGGGACACTCCTGAGATCATTCGCTGCAAGCAATCTATGAACCTGCAGAGTGACGTAAGTATAGCCTCATTTCATTTTCTTCCATGCTCCTCCTACACCATAATCATATCACATCTGATCTTCTTGTCCTGTGTGATACTCTCTTTCAGAATCAGTACAGAGCTAAGGGAATCGAGCATTTTAAGCAGTACACTGTGGTCACAGACACCCCTGTCTATGAAACATGCAAGCTGAGCGCTAAGAACTTGAGCGAGGTAACACGTCAAAAACATGTATCAGAATGCCTTTATTGCATTTTGATTGAAGCAGAATCTTTTAACTCATATCCTTCATGTCTGCAGCTCAACTACCGTCATGACTATGTCACAAATGTCATGGGTAAAAACACTGCTCCTGCTGTGACTGTCGATACTGAAAGGGCCCGTCAAGCCAACTACATCCAGAGCGAAGTATGACGTCTCTTAACAATTAATAAGAATGTGTACTGGTCTCTCCATTGATGAATGTTTAAATCGCATCATTTCTTTCTTTTTAGAACTTCTACAAAGAGGCCAATAAGATCTCAATGCCTACCGGATACACTCTGCCTTATGACACTCCACTCAACAAACAGGCCAAAGCCAACAGCATCGTCACCAGTAATGTACGAGAACACCTCAAATCTCTCTCTCTCTCAAAAAAAAAAAAAGAGTCAAATGTTAGGACTGCATCTCATCTGATGTTACAATCTCTGTAGGTGAAGTACAGGGAAGCTTTTGATCTGATGAAAGCCAGGAGCTACAAACTAGATCCTGAAGGTGTCAACTTTCTCACCATCAGAAAGGCCAACAAGGTCACCAACCAAGTAAGTACAATGTTCAAGTAGAGCGTTTCACTTTAGAATTTTTAACTTTATCATGAACAAGAATATTAACAAGGTTGCATTTTGCCATAGCGGCTGTATCGTGAGAAATATGAGAAGGAAAAGGACAAGATCCACTCTGAGTATGACACACCTGAGATCAGACAGGTTAAGGCCACTCAGCAAGCAATCAGTGATGTAAGTATGTCTTTATTGTGAAATATGAATTCATACTTTACCGCCAAAATTATCAGATGCTCTATTGATGGTTTATTTTTCTCTACAGGTGTGCTATAAGGAAAAGTACTACAACAGCAGAGGAACTCTTCTGCCAATGCCCATCACCCCACAGCTGTTGCACTGCTTCAATGTCAATGAGCTCAACAGCGATGTAGGTGCCCCCCATACATTTACTCTGACACATTGCATACTGGAAACATTTCATTTGCCCTCTTGACATTTTCAGGTTTAATAACTGTTCTTATATCTCCTGCAGCTGAAATATAAAGAGGATCTGCAATGGCTGAGAGGTATTGGCTGCTTTATGGTGGACTCCCCCGAGATGACCCGAATCCGTGAGATCACCAAGTTTAGAGTAATTATTCATTCACTTATTATCATGTATGCCACTCTTCATTCATAATGGTTTATTCTATTGATTTTGATACTATTCAGTTTTTTTTTTAAATCTATTTGCTAGAAATCATATGAAGTTGATGCTAAGAAGAACTTTTCCAACTTCAGTGTGGTCTTGGACACACCAGAGTACAAGCGTGTGTCTGAACTCAAGACCCACATGAGTGATGTAAGTGATTTTGTTGCATCCCCAGGCTTTATTTCTCAGTTATAGACTCCATCATTCCTGTTTTAAAGCCTATCCACATTCTTCACTGTCTTTTTGTGTGTTTTTATCCTCAGATGGTGTATCGAGCTGATGGCAATAAGGAAAAGACAAAATGCACAACCACTGTGGATGGCCTGGACATTACGAGAGCCAAGTGGGCACAGTCTCTCACCAACAAGGTAAATCACTTTTAGCCCAAACCCTAAACATAAATAATGACTTTTTATAATATGTAAAATTAAAAGATCTTACTAAGGGTTCAAAATTAAATGGGTCAGGTTTTACAAATAATATTCAGACCCTCGCTGATGTAATTGGCAAAAGCGTTTTCCAGTCAAAGACATGCAGTTTACTGAAGAAAGCATCTGTCACAAGCTTCAGATTTTGATTCTGTTCAGTTGGAAGATTTTGATATTTTGAGCTTCAATTTGTCATGCGTCTCCTGGCAACAAGCACATCCCAGATAGCAAACTGACATTGAATCAACGTGGAAATATGACATCGAAACAACGTTGATCTGACATTGTTTTGCTAATCGAATTAACGTTGAACCAACGTCAGACGCGTCATTCTTTCAAAACTAACGGAAAATCATCTTGAAATCAACGTGTTGTTTCAACGTTATGAAAGCAAACCAATTTTCGATTGTCATTTACTGTAGCTTTGAAGAATGCCGCGTCTAACGTTGGTTCAACGTTAATTCGATGAGCAAAATCAACGTTGTTTCAATGTCATGAGAGACGTCGTTTCCACATTGATTCAATGTCAGTTTGCTGTCTGGGATGTGAGTTTGTTAATTTCAGATGGACTTCTGGTTGTTTGTGATAGTGTGTGATCCTCAGTCATTTAGTGTAAACCCAAGTTTTTCTTTGTAACCATTTACAAAGTCGACAAGTGTATGATGACTAGTGTTTTTAAATCAATTTACCAAAAAAAAAAAAAAAAAATTGCCTATACAGATTTGCCTATATAATACTGGTGTCTCTTCACAGTACCAGTACGTTGATCTGGCATCTAAGGAGAGGGCCTTCTTCACCCCCGAATCACATACTCCAATCATGGATCATGCCCGTTCCATGAAAGTGGCGTACAGTGAGGTAATTTTTTTAACACCAAGATTGCTTTTTAGCAATGTATAACATGTGTGTAATGTATGCAGAAAAGCCTGTAATTCATCTTTTGTGTCATATTTAGAAAAAGTACAAGGAACAGTATGAGAAGATGAAGCACAAGTATACTCCCATTCATGACACACCAATCCTGGTTCGTTCTAAGAAGGCCTACCTCAATGCCAGCGATGTAAGTCAACCAGATGCTTTATTTCTTCCTTTACTGGCCTGTTCAATATCAATTATAGATATGCTCTAACAATCTATATCATTTCTCTCCAGTTGCGCTACAAGGAGACCTTTGAGCTTGCTAAGGGACACTACCACGCTGACAAAGACGCACTGGATATTCTCTGTGCCAAGAGGGTCAGAGATGACATCAGTGAGGTTAGTAAACTAAGAGACTTTTTGTTTGCTTTGAACATGTAAAATGTGATTTAGTGAGGAATCCTGTCACTCACCCTCTCCTTTTCTCAGGTCAAATACAGGGAGAAGTACATCAGCACATTGGGCACCTGGAAGTCCATCCCTGACCGCCCTGAGTTCTTCCACAGCAGGATTGTGAGGGACTGCATCAGTGATGTGAGTATAACTAAACCCACTTTCTCTTCTTATTCTTTTATTCGTCAGCTCACAGTGTCATTAACAGAAGCTCATAGTGCTGTTTAACCATTGTCACATGTTCTTCTCCACTTTAGGTCAAGTACAAAGAAGATCTGGACTGGATCAAGGGCATCGGCTGCTACGTGTGGGACACACCTGAGATGGTGCAGGCTGAACACAACAAGACCCTCTACAGCGAAGTAAAGAGCAACCACAATTTTACTAATTTTTACTACAGATGCGTTAATGAATACAGTTATGGACACATTTCGCATCAGCATCAATAAAAAAAAAAATGCATCAGATTTCATACTTCCCTAACCAAAAGTTGTTGTTTTTTGGGGATATAGAAAACATGACGTACAAGTGAAAGTAAAATGAATATTCAGTACTATGTGATACAAAAAAGCTGCCTCATACTCTCTCCTCTCTCTCTCTCTTTTTTTTGACAGAGACTATACAAAGCGTCATTCGAGAAGAACAGAGCCAACTTCAAATACACATGTGACACGCCATTCTTTGAGGCTGCCAAGAACGCTTCCCTTTTGATTAATGATGTAAGTCAATAGAAGCATGACTTCATATCATAATACTGTGTTATATTAAATGCTAAATGTTGTGTAAAAATACAACAAAAACAATTTCATACATAACCTGTGTTTCTTCCACTGCCTCTATAATGGTTACATCTTTAAAGGTAAACTGTTGCAACATGCTTAATACCACCTCAAACTGTTTGTTTCCTTTATATTTCATGAAAATTATTTATATATTTCCATATCTTTACTAAAATTTCACTTTGAATTTACCTGTCATGACATATTTTCTCCTCTTGAATGAATGTTCATCCTCACTGCTCTCAAGGCAGTTGTCTTTAACTCCTTTTTTGAAATCCTGAGCAGAGGTCCTACCGTGCAAGCTATGAGAAGTCTAAGGATAAGTACACCATAGTTGTAGATGACCCTAGAAACATCTTGGCTAAGGAGGCCAGCAAGCTGAGTCAGGTAAAGCCACCAGCTCCAGCCGCCCCCTGCGGGTCCATCGCCTGCTACAGGGGCCCGAGCATGAGGTCGTCTCCGATCCAATGGATGGCTCTGTCGCATGGCTACAACTTCACTTGATTGTGTCTCTTTCTCTCCCCTGATTTAGGTGTCTGCTTGTTTGCCATTCAAAAAACCCAAATGGGAATTTTTGAGTGAGCACAGCTAGGTCCATATCTGTGTGCTCCAGATAGGGCTACATCTAAACAGTTTGATAGGTCTTGAGCTAGGTGGGGATAGGGTTAAGTTTACTCTTGTGAAATTGCGTATTTGGAGTACACAGTTTGGTACTGAGCTTCTCTTTCTGGACTTCAGGAGCTACTCTCTGTCTCTGTCTTCAATTGTGGCATGATTTGTGCATCTGTGTTTGTGTGTTTCCTCAATGGACAGGGAAAATATAAATGCAAGGCCAAGGAGTTACTCAAGAGTGGCTGCAATGAGCTGCTCCGTCCTGATATTCTTGTTGCCATGTACAACTCTGGCATGTGGAGTAAGGTAACCATCTGCCCACTGGTAGAGTCTTCCAAACCCACCTAGTAATCTCATCTCTTCATTAATGCACCACTAACGTCACCTTTAGTGGTAATATCCAGCCTTTAACTATTACTACTTTGTTTTTTCCACCATACCCTGCTTTTAAAACAAACCCACTGATCACCTTCCATAACTTTCTTAAGAAAAAAGGTGTGCTACAGTCATACAGTAGTTAGCTCTGTAATGGAAGTAGACTTTAACTGAAAAGTTTACAATGTTAGAATATGGACGTTTTGTATAAATGTCAGGTCGTCACAATTTTTCACAGCAAGTTGTCACACGTTTTATTTGGAAAAATATATAAAATTGATAAACTAGCAAAAACCTCCCCTACTTTAGGGTGTCATGGTGGTGTTTTCCTTTTATTATTTTATTATTTTGCAATGAACAAAGAATCAATGAATTTTTGATTTAAATAAAATAGAATAAATAGCTTTGCTTTAAATAATAATATACAATTAGTTCAAAATGTCACGTTCAAAGGTTTGCAGAAGAGTAAGAGCATAAATGGTAAAGACAGAAGTTGTAACTTGTCAATGTTTTTCTGTATGCTGTTGTCTGAAGCTGCTTTCCAACTCCCTCCATTTTGCTTGACAGCACATTGCATGTTCTCTATTGCATGTGTGTATGTGTGTGTCGGTTAAACATAAGTAATTATTTGCTCCTTTGAATAGATTGAATAAACCTTCCCTTTTAATGCACGAAATTGAGTTGTTATATAACTTAAATGTACTTTAACTTAATTCTGTCATGATTAAACCTTCCCTTTGAATGCATGATATTGACAGTTGTTATAGAAATTAAATATCACAGTGTCTTACTTAGTGATCCTTATAAAAGTAAATATAATACTGTAAAAATTCAATTTATGTGAGGTCACCCTCATTCTTCATTTGAATGGAAAAGTGCTGTCTCTGATTATCGTTTCTTATCCATTACTTCCTGTAGTGGAAGTACAAAGAGCAGTATGAACGTGCCAAGTCGAAATTCACCTCAGTGCTGGAAACACCTGATTACCAAGTTGCCAAGCGCAGCAAGCAAATCAGCGATGTTAGTATCATCACCATCTGCCTTCCACCTTCATGTGAAAAGCATTTATACATGCATACAGTTGACATTCCTAATGTTCAGTTTATAATCCAGTCATTGTATGGGAATGCATTATATTTTGGTATCTCTGTTCACTTCTTTAGATCATCTATAGGATGGAATACAACAAGACCAAAGCGAGAGGTTACACACTTGGACATGACACTCCTGCGAGCCAGCACATGAAGAAGGTCAAGGAGATCACCAGCAACGTAGGTTTACCCTTCTGTACATTTGCAAAAAGGAACCAAATTTAAGACTATTCATGTCAGTGAGTTTCATTTTAAACTTCTTTTTTATAGCTGAAATACAAGGAAGTGTATGAAAGAAACAAGGCTCACATCAACATGGCACCTGATGCTCACGAAATCCGTGCCGCCAAGGAGGCCTACAAGAACATAAGCAATGTGAGTCTGCATTGGTCTACACTGAGCATCTGTGAAGTTGAATCACAAGTCAGCATCTCATTATTTAAGTTTCTCTAACTTGTAGCTCGACTACAAGAAGAAGTATGAGGCCACCAAGAACAAGTGGATCTGGACTGTGGACAGACCTGATTTCATCCATGCCGCTAAGAACAGTTTCCAGCAGAGTGATGTTCGTACCACTCCATTTTTAACCATGGTTTCAGTTTTAGAGAGAATCATTACATATTAATGAACAGATTTTTTTTGTAATCCACAGATTGAGTACAAGTATGATAAGGAAATGCTGAAGGGCTGCGTATTGTCTATCGCTGATGATAAAAACACTATTTTGGCAAAGAAGAACAGTGAAATCGCTAGTGATGTGAGTGCCATTTTCCATACAGGACATTTGAAAATCAACATATATGTCAGTTAAACTAACAAAAAATGTCACTGTTCTTCAGGTGAAATATAAGGAGAAGTATGAGAAGGCCAAGGGTCATTATATGGCTGTCCATGACACACCTCAAATCCTTCATGCTAAATCAGTGGCCAAACTTGTGTCTGAGGTATTGCACCAATATAATGTAACAATAACCAATATAAAGCTTTGTAAAATAGTTTTTCATTTATCATTCATAAAATTGTTTACAAATCTTTCTGCAGTCCAAATACAAGGAGGCCAGCAAAAAGGATCATCAGTCGGGTGGCTTCACTACACTTGCTGAAACTCGTGACACTGCCCACAGCAAAGAGGTTGCCAAAATGAGTGCTGTAAGTTGAAATACTCAGTTTTCACCCCATTATTATGAGAAACCTCAATTGCGGGAAATTATTCTGTATTGCGATCACCAATCATAATCTTTCCACAGAAATTGTACAAGGAAAAGTTTGAGAAGGAGAAAGGCAAGTCTAATTACAATCAAATGATTGCTCCCCCCGATGTTCAACATGCCATGGAAGTGGCCAAAAACCAAAGCAACGTAAGGAACTAACATGTATCTGCTTTAACTAATAGCCTCAGACAGAGATAATTTTAAATCTCTCGTCTTTCCTTGTGTAGATCGCCTATAAACAGGAAGCTAAAGCCAAGTTGACATACACCTCGGTTGCTGACCGCCCAGACATCAGGAAAGCCACTCAAGCTGCTAAGCTTGTCAGTGAGGTGAGGGTCACTTAAAAGCACAGTTCACCCAAAAAAAATGTTTTCTATTGTCAATTACACACCCTTATTGCATTCCAAACCCATAAGACTTTCAAACATGGTCAACGGCAGCTCAACCATGCTTGCTTGACACCCAAAAGTAAACTTTATTGATTTACATTAAGCAGCACATTAACGCTTCCGTGTCCATATTTGATGTGCTCCATGTATGTATATTGATAAATCTTTATGAATAAAAGCAGAAACTAAATCAAATAAAGCAAGCAATCATGTCTTAACAGAAGACTTGAGTGAAACCACACAATTTATATGAATTACTTTTATAATCTCTTACTCGCATTGAAAGTTTTGATGGAATGAAAGTTCAATGCAGGGTAAGAAATTTCTCAGTTTTTATTAAAAATATTGTGTTTCAAAGTTGAATGAGTCTTTTTGGATTTGGAACCACTTGAGTGTTAGTAAATTAATTATTATTTATTTTTTGGGTGTAGTATTCAAACGTCTGTACTAGTGAAGTCTTGACAAAACAGTATATATGTTGCTGTTATAATTGTAAGTAGTAAAGGTTTCAAATCTGTTCTTGTAGATTGGATACCGTGATAAAGCTCGCCAGGAGGCCAGCCGTGGTGGAACGCTGCTCGGCCGTCCTGATATCGCCCTGGCCACTGAGGTGTCCAAACTGACCAGTCAGGTAATACTGTTAGCAACTCCACAATAGACATGATGTGGTCCATAGACTTTCATTATATTCATCCGCAAGGAATACAGGGGTTTAGATTGAAGCCACTGGATATATATTTGACACGGTTTTCCTTACACCTTCACCATCATGGCAGCTGCATATGCAGTAATACTCAAAGTTTGCTGTAGTGGTATTCATTGTAATGTAATAGTAGAACGCCTCTGCAGTGCTTCTCATGCCTATCATTATTAATACCGTCATTGTCTATGCGAGCCCTGAGTGTCTCTTGTAATCTGTTTCACCTCATCGGCTTACCTACCTGCCCTGTATTTATTCATGTCTTTCCATCTGACTCTGTAATCCATCCATCTGTTTTCCATTCATTCATTTTCTCTGTTTTGTCCCATTTCATTGATGTTACCCTGCCATTTCACTGCACTTTTTTTAGGTAGAGGAAAAGACATCCCTCCATGGTGCTGCTTCCTTTGACACTCCTCAGATGCGGCACATTAAGAAAATGAGTGCCCTGACTAGTGATGTAAGAAGGGCCCCTGGCCCCTGGGAGTGACATTTGCACTTCTCTGTCTCTGTAGTGTCTATGTTCTCTTTCCCTCGGACTGACCCAGTCATTGTACTCAGTGGCACTCAATTTGATACGATTTTTGGGTTCCTGCAGACATTGAAATATTCTTGTTGGTTTTCAATGTTTTTGCTCTCTCAATTCTACATTCCCAGCCATTTCGTTTTTTTTTTTTTTTTTTTTTTTTTTTTTTCTGATCTTGTCTCTTTTTGTGTTTGTCATGCAAGCTTTTGCCTTGTTGCCAGGCTTAGGCTTAAAGACCGGCACTCCATCACATTTTTTTGTCATCTGTAGCATTTCCCCCCCATTTCAGACCATTTTTTCATATTTGTCTAGCATGCAAAATGTTTTTGCACATATGAATGACCTGTATCTCTTGTTCAAATCATCAAAACTGGTGTCCAGTTTGCTGTTGCATTCTTTAACATGCTGTTGTATCGAGGAGTGTGCAGATTCAATTAGCAACACTATTATTCACCGGCTATATGATTTACAGAATTAAATAAATACTAATGGCACTGCTACCTTTTTAGAAACCAAAAACACATTTAATGATTTATTGTTGATATCAATTATTTGGTCTACACACTCCTCTCTTTGCTTGATGTCACAAATGTGATTCCTCCACAGATCTGGTGATTTTTTCAGATTCTTTGTTAAAAGATTCAATCTCTATACCACCTTCCCTCCAGTTAAAGCTGAAGTGTGTAATTTTTCTGTAATTAGGGTTAGGTCACCCAAAAATGTTTAATTCATAATTTACTCAACATCATTTTGTTCTAAATCCATAAGACTTTTGTTCATCTTTGAAAGCAATTTTTTTTAATATTTTTAAGATTTCTGTCCCTCTTTTGAACCTCCATTCACCCAAATATTTGATGCTTTAAAAAGTTAATAAAGACATGGTTCACGTAATCCAGATAAATCGAAGAGAGGTTTAATTAAAGTCTTCTGAAGAGGTTTGGGTGAATGGATTTTTTAGTGAAGGGACAGAAATCCCTCAGATTTGAATAAAAATATCTTAATTTGTGTTATTTTTTTTGGAGAACCAACCCATTAAAGACAACCACAAAATTTTTTAGGAACAATCAAAACATCGACAGATACAGTAAAATTGCCTTAACCAACAGCTTGAGTTTGGGGTGGGACCGTTTTTTTACCAATAGCACTTCAATAGATGAAGTGTTCGGAAACCTGTTTGAGCACAGTCACTTCTTTAGCAATAGAGTGCGAGTTGGGTTCTGAAAGTAAAAATCTCATTCAAGTTAACAATAACTTTTAAACCGTTAAACACAGACCTACTGTGAGCAACAAGGTTAACCAATGATATTTTGTTGAAGCCATCATATTTTTAAAATAATTATGTGTAACTAATTTATGTTAAATATGATTCTGGAAAGAAATCTCCACCAATCAGAGAATCAAAGAACGTTCACTAAAAGAACTCTTTAGCGCTCATTCACTCCCATGAAGCACTGTAAATGACATAATCGGTCTTGGCCCTGTTGCACCCCGTTGGTTCAGTGATGCTAGTGGCACAGAAATCACACACTTCAGCTTTATGTGCACACAAACAGTATGTTGGATGTGATGCTTTTGTATGCTCTGAACTTTGTGTTGGTCATCCCATTTGGGGCTAGTACAATGTGAACTTGATCTGAATTGTACTGTATTAGACCCAACTGAAACCTTGTTGTAATGAGATTCTTTTCAGTTTCCCTTTCTTTCCATTGATGATTGCATGAAACGATTCATGTCTCTGTGCTTTTGCAAGCGTTTTGGCTCATATGACAGAAAATACATCACTAACTGCAATTAATATTGTTACTCTTCTCTCTCAAAAGGTGAAGTACAAGGAGAAGTTTGACAAGGAGATTAAAGGAAAGAGACCACAGTATGACTTGAAGAACAGCAAGATTTATCAGACTTTGAAGGATGCCAATGAACTTGCAAGCGAGGTGCTTTAAACTCTCAAACCTGCTTTTATCACATTGAGAGTGTTTCTTATCATGGTGTGTTTTTGCCTGGATATTTCTTACAGGTGAAGTACAAAGGTGACCTGAAGAAGATTCACAAACCTGTCACTGACATGGCTGAGTCTTTGTCAATGCAGCACAACCTGAGCACTAGCAAGCTGTCCAGTGATGTAAGAGTTTTATTGATGGCTTCATTTCCCTCCCATCACACACTGTAACACTATCAATGTGAAATATCACATCTTCATGTAATTTCCAACGCATTCTCATCCTTTAACGTCATATAGAACGCTATATGACAAACCGGCGCTATACTACGCACATAGCACCCGTTATCGTTAATATAACACGCTCTGTGAGGGCTAAGTTTAGGTGTGGGGTAGGGTGTGCGTGTCATATTCACGCTAAAGGATTTATAACGTCTTGGGTTCGCGTGTATATTAACGATAAAGGGTGCCATGTGCGTAGTATAGCGCCGTTTTGTCATATAGCGTTCTATATGACGTTAAAGGATGAGAACGGGCTGGTAATTTCACATGAACCATCTATCATCCTCAGAGAAAGCTATCATTTAATATATTTACTCATTCCAGGCTATCATTTGGTAGTGACCCTCATCATCCAATTTTAAACATACTACCACTAGCTCCATTTTTGCTTTCACTTGACCCTATTCTATTTTTTCTTATTATTATTTCTATTAACATGCCTAGTGCTATTCTAAAAGCACTCTAACATCTAATTTTTCCATTTTTTTTAATACCAATCCCTGATACGTATTTCTTTTTTAACCCACTTCCCTGGATGCCTTTTTATTCATTTTTTCATCTACTTTTTTTTTCATTTTCATTGGGATATATAAACTAGAAAAGAACTTACTATACCTGAATGTTAACTTGACAGCTTTTATCTCTATAAACATTATACACTTGTTATATCTAAAATCAAAACTATCTATCTATCTATCTATCTATCTATCTATCTATCTATCTATCTATCTATCTATCTAGCTATCTATCTAGCTATCTAGCTATCTATCTATCTATCTAGCTATCTAGCTATCTATCTATCTATCTATCTATCTATCTATCTATCTATCTATCTATCTATCTATCTATCTAGCTAGCTAGCTAGCTAGCTATCTATCTATCTATCTATCTATCTATCTATCTATCTATCTATCTATCTATCTATCTATCTATCTATCTATCTATCTATAAATAACTGATTTTAAAATGGTATTGTTATATATAACCTTAAATGAAGTCTAAGAGGTTTTTGGGTAAGGTGTTTTTTGGCTCCAAAGTGTGATTATTAGAATATTTGGTAACACTTTACAATAAGGTCTCATTTGTTAACATTAGTTATTGTATGAACTAACAATGAGCAGAACATTTATTACAGTATTTATTAATATTTGTTAATGTTAGTTAATAAAAATACAGTCATTCATTGTTCATGTTCAGTTCACATTACATTAACTAAAATGAACAAATACAACTTTTCATTTTAATAATGTATTAGTAAATGTTGTAATAAACTTGAAACTAAATTATTTGTAAGTACAGTTCATTATTAGATCATGTTAACTAAAGTGAACTAATGAAACCTTATTGTAAAGTGTTAGCAAACATAACATGTCATTATGTTATGTGTTCAGCCATCAGTTTTTTCTTCTTCTTCTTCTTCATGTTTTTTTTTTTTTTTTTTGGTCCCCACTTTCTTTTTCATTTTTGGCCAGTTTCGGCCTTTTCAATATGGGAGAGATGAAACACTGGATTTCCATTTTGTTTTATTGAGCTGCTTTATTGGGCGTTCCTCTTTAGTACCAGTACAAGAAGAAGTTTGAGGAAAGTAGGGGTCACTACCTTATGATAGCTGACACACCTGAGCAGCTTCACCACAAAGAGGCCTCAGAGCTGCAAAGTCACGTAAGTCATACAGTTGTGAATATTTCTGCAGCTGACATCACCTGCTTCTCTGTGTGTGATGCTTCACATGTTGGACCTGTTAATTTCATTTCAGCTAACTTGTCAGTCTTTTGCAGCTAAATTAGATTTATTTATCATTTACATTTTATTTGTTTTGGTTAATTTGTGCTATAAAACCGCTTTATAAGGACTTGTCTGTGTGTTATGTAAGAAAAAAGTTGTAAAAGTGAGTCACTCAATCATTAAAGTCTGAGACATTTTATATTGCGAAAACATCATAAACATCCATTGTATTTTTAATGAATTTTCCACACTGTTGAGCCTATGTTAAACTCTCTTTCAGGAGTCTCAGTGCATAGGAACATAAAATGGCAGATTAATTGATATCCAGTATAATCTTGACTCTTCAAAAAGATTCAGTTTGCAGACAAATCTGTGGTCTTTGCTTGGCAATCATTATTTAGTAAACCATTAAATTAATCAGTTCGGCTTTTTTCTATTTGTATGTTTTTCACCTTTGGGATTTGTCTGACTACAGGTGAAGTATAAGGAGAAATATGAGAAAGAAAGAGGCAAAGCCATGCTGGACTTCGAGACTCCTACTTACGTGACTGCTAAGGAGGCTCAACATATGCAGAGTCAGGTAAAAATTGATGCCAAAGCTCAGCGTATATAGCTCAAGTATTCTTTGTAACGCAGTGTGAATGACTTTATAATACTAAGTAAGATTCAAACAGTGTGTTTTTATTTGGATACAAATATTGGAATGCTATTTAGTAATTGGGAGGCCACAATTTCCAACCAGGACCCATGGATTAATGGTAGGCATTTATGTATGTTAGCTGTTTTGATAGTGTCACTGTACAATACACTGACTGGAGAAAATGTTCTCTTACGAGAGGTTCTCTCGTATTGCGTAAGCTAGCTTACGCTACGGGAAAGATTAATCTTTTCTGAGAAGTTGAAGCCCAAAAATTATCCTATAATTTGTATCCATTGTCAACGCAGTTCATCTGCAGCAGACCATGAGCGGGCTAGCTAGCAGCTCATAGGTTCGCTCACAGAGAACTACTACAACCTATGGGAGAACTCGGCTGAACTCGCGACCAATGAGAGGCTGACACGCTCTCATTGCGTCAAAGCCCGCCAAAATGGGCGTGGCTCGAGTGTATAAATTCGCCAGTGTCACCCGCTGTATGATTTACATCACTTCAGCGAGGCTTGAGTTGAGAAGAAGCAGTCGCCGTCGAGAGGGCACAGGGCAGCTCTAGCGAGCGTCTTGGAGACAGAGGAAGCCGGCCGTTTTCGCCACCGTCAGCCGTCCTGCAAGCTAGCGCCTTTCGACGACGTATCTTTTTGACTTACTGCAGGCACCCGGGTCTCTATGGGACTCGTCCAAAGATCGCGCCGAAGCCCGATCAACCGAAGTCTGCCTAGCACAGCTGAGAAAACGACGGGGTTTCCCCCCCTGCGGCTGGACCGCCGTCAAAGCTTCGCCCTCTGTCAGTCCCCGCTGATCTGGCTACTACAGCAGTGTTCGCCGCCACAAACAAGCCGGTCTCTGCCCGCTTGCGAGCGCCAAAATGAGAAACCTCAGAGAAACCTCCAAAGAGCATAAAATCCTCTTGTGTAGACAATGTGCCCACGATCCTGTGTTAACCCGTACACAAAAGCACCACATGTCCCGTGTACCTCAGAGTCCACCCCCATAAAGTGGTCACAGCCCGCTCTAGTGCCGGAGTGCATAAGCGCGTCCACGAGCCTTTGTGCGCGTCCCCCCTCTGCCCGCTCTGTTTCACGACCCGTAAACTCCTCTGAGTGTAATTCCCGTTGCTACAAAAACTAAGCACGCCCACACACTGTGTTCAGGCCGCTACGTGCAGCAATCAGGGCGATATGGCCATTCACTCTCTAGCGTTACGCTTCAAAGCGTGGGAAGCTATTCCGGGAATCTCCCCGTGGGTGTTAAGCAGCTAACTATTACAGTTCCGCCGCCGCCCTCCACGCTTCCGTGCGCGGCTCGAAACTTCAGTGAGTTCAGAAGCAGCCAACACGCTTCGCTCCTAGATAGCAAAGTTTTTGTGCAAAAGGGCCATAGAGAGAGTACCGCCTTCTATGAGCGAGTCGGGGTTTTACGGCCGTTATTTTCTTGTCCCCAAGAAAGACGGCAGCCTCAGACCGATCTTAGATCTCAGAATTTTGATCAAAGCGCTCATGAGAAGACCGTTCAAAATACTTACGGTCAACAAACTCCTCGCGACTCTAAGCTCTTCTGAAGTCACACTCAAACAACCGGCAATCGCTTGTTCTTCCCTCATGTACTTATGTCTTTCTTTTACTGTCTATGGCTTATGTACTACACTATCACCGGCCCGCTTGCTGGCCTTATATTTCACGTACATACTTATTCCCACTTAGGGTCCCCCGGGATCCCTCCCCTGGGACACATTGTGGATGCTTAGCGCGCACAGCGTTAGGGTAAGGCCGTGCTTGCAATGCAGTTCTCGCTTCATTCATGAAAACCATAGTACTACAGCGAGAGACTGGCGAATATTTATACACTCGAGCCATGTCCATTTTGGCGGGCTTTGACGCAGCATGTCGGGCGGCAGTGGCTCAGTGGTTCATGTGGGTTGTCTACAAACCGAAAGGTTGGTAGTTCAATCCTCGGTTCCACCTGACCAAGTGTCGAGGTGTCCATGAGCAAGACACCTAACCCCAGCTGCTCCCGACGAGCTGGATGGCGCCTTGCATGGCTGACACCGCCGTCGGTGTATGAATGAGTGTGTGAATGGGTGAATGTGAGGCAAAAATGTAAAGCGCTTTGGTGGCCATTAGGTCTATAAAAGCGCTATATAAATGCAGTCCATTTACCATTTACCATTTCATTGGTCGCGAGTTCAGCCGAGTTCTCCCATAGGCTGTAGTAGTTCTCTGTGAGCGAACCTATGAGCTGCTAGCTAGCCCGCTCATGTCATGTTTTGCGGCAGTTGAACTGCGTTGACAATGGATACAAATTATAGGATATTTTTTTGTCTTCAACTTCTCAGAAAAGATTAATCTTTCCCTTAGCGTAAGCTAGCTTACGTAATACTCGTTCCCTCATCTATGGAGAACGGAGGTTACGTTAGGTAACCGATTCGTTTTAAATCAACATCAAGATACTCAAAACATTATATGAACTGTCACACTCTTCGACTGAGGAACCAGTGTGTACCATGGTGTACTAGACCCGCATGCCTGAAGCTTCATGTATCTCCCACTCTTCTATATTTGTGGTGGATAGAAAGAGTATAAGAAGGACTTTGAGATGACAATGAAAGGAAAGAACCTCTCTGGGTTGGAGGTCACCCCTGCCATGATGCATGTCAGACACGCCACGAAAATTATTAGCGAGGTAACATGAAGCCCTTATATTATCTTCCTTCCATCCTGGTAATAATACTAAGACCACATACGCATTATAATCCTTTACATGAGTGTATTTGAAGTTTCCAGTTACACCCAAGTAGGTTATGGTTAGTATGCATGAACCATCCTTCCGTTGTAATAGACTAATTCCCTTCCCCCTCCAACATCTGTGTGTGTCTGTGTGTGTGTTTTCTGCTGTTGCTGGTTTTAACAAAGTTCCAACAGTCATGAAAAACCTGGACATATTAGGGAATGCCATTCCATGCCTGGATTTTCAAAATTAATGAAAATTATGAAAATCCTTATATTTTTAATACTACATTTTTTCTATTTTCGCCAAGTTATCATTATCCAATCTCTATCACTATGCAGTCTTTCAAATTATTTGATATTTTAATTTTTCATGTTTTACTGGAAATGTTTATATATATATATAGACCATTTCACAAGATGTAAACAACACTGGTCCAGAAGCACTTCCTGTTTCAGTTTGTAACTGTTTTCTTTATTTCAAATGTAAAGAAAACATCTTAAAGATGTTTGTTTAACTTTTTGATTCAGTTTTTAATGTTCTGTTGGTTGTATTTTATCCCAGCTTTTATGTATAGTGTTAAAAACTGAAACAGGAAGTGCTTCTGGACCAGTGTTGTTTACATCTTGTGAAATGGTCTATATATATATATATATATATATATATATATATATATATATATATGTGTGTGTGTGTGTGTGTGTGTGTGTGTGTGTGTTTTTAACCTCATAAGATCTTGGTTACCATGAATATTTAGTTACCCTGAACATGCACATGACATAACATTTTATTTTATTTAACTTAATTAGATTTTAGTTTGGCTTTAAAATTATATGAATGCTGCAAAACGAATGTACATGTTAAAACGTCTCAGACACTGTTTTTGTCAATATTCTTGCCTGTGACATTTGTGATAAATATTGTATATGGCTTTATCTGGTTGCTTTTCAAACTCAGCAATGCATTTGCTCCAAGTAGATTATGTTCAATTACTTTTTATGTATGGACAACATACACCTTGGTTATAATCTGCGTGTGAAACATTATCTTAAACTCAGTGCAAATGCTTGGTGACTTTGACATGTCAGTGGGCGCAGTACTGTGTCTGTGTGTGCTATGTGTCTGCAGTATTTCTGTTCTTCTCCGCCCTGTAGAAAGAGTACAGGAAGGATCTAGAGGAAGGGGTGAAGGGTAAAGGGCTTACAGTGCTGGAGGAAACTCCTGAGTTACTGAGAGCAAAGAATGCTACTCATATCCTTTGTGAGGTAGGATGGCTATAGCTCAAACTGACTTATCTTACCTATAGTCCTCTCCCAGACCGCCACTTTCTCCTCATCAGACTAATCAGGCAGAAACTGGTCACTTTGCCTCTTGCTAATGAGAAAACTAACCAAGCTTATGGATGTTTGATGTGCCATCAGGTTTGGCAAAGCAATTCAACTCATCCGACCGAGACTTCCACTAAATGTCATTTTGTCTTTTAATTCTAAATCTTCTCCCTTATTTTCCCTATTTTTCCTTCACAGCTTTGATGTTAATATCATCACACTTTTCTTCTTATTCTCCTTTTTATATATGTGTTTGCAGCCCACAGGAATGTTTATTGGTGTGAATGTTAAGATGACTGATAAACAAACATATGGACATAATCTCATTTCTGCCCAATTCCTGCAGAGAGAGTACAAGAAAGGATTGGAGCAAGATATCAAGGGAAAAGGCATGTTGGCTTTGGCCACTGACACTCCAGACTTCTTGAGGGCAAAGAACGCCACAGATATCCTCAGTCAGGTACACAGATGATCTTCAACCCATCAATTCAGTATTCCCTCAACTACGATAATAGCATCAACATTTCAACAATACATTGATTGCTGGTTAATTTGTTTTTCCAGGCCAAGTACAAGCAGAATGCTGAGCATGACAGAGCCACATACACCACAGTCATTGACACCCCTGACATCCTCCACGCTCAGCAGATCAGGAACCTTGTGAGCCAGGTATGAGGGTTGCTTCTTTGAAGAACAATGTTTATTGCTAGTGTATTGGTATGAATTTACCTATTTTTAAACTTTTATTATTAAGACGTTTGGATTTGTATATAGACACATTTTGGTAAAAGGGTTGCTAAATTCCATATAACAATTAATAAAAAACAAACTAGAAAAATAACAGGGCCTGACCACCGATGGTATGAGGATTTGCTCTGTTTATTATTATGATTTTTATGATTCAACTTTGTATTTAACCTTATAGAAAAAGTACAAGGAGGAGGCTGAGAAGACCATGTCACACTATGTGCCAGTGTTGGACACTCCTGAGATGCAAAGAGTGCGTGAGAACCAGAAGAACTTTAGCACCGTAAGTGTTTCTCCGCGGGCTTTGAGCCAGTGCATATTATGTCTGTTCAGTCAATATTATGTTTATGTTTTAGGGCGTTTTCACACCTGAAAGTCCGCACCAAGGTCCAAAAACCAAAGTTCACGTTTTGATACATTTTATACTTTCAGAAAGTTTTGGTTTGGTTTCACACTGCAATTATGCGAGCGCACTAAAGAACTTTACGTGACATACTTGCGTCTTGTCGTCATCATCTATGTAGGCTGCATCTTGACATTGATTGGTTTTGTAAATGGATGTGCGTCTGATGCAGCGTATTGTCAATTCGGCGGGTAACTATAACAACATGAATGAACAGACGCATATCGTAGCAACTATATTTGTATGGCATAAATACCTGCAGAACCAACTATACACAAGGCTAGTTCAAATTCGCCAAATTTTATTTTATCGTCACCGGCAGGAAATGAGGAGAAGACTGCAAGTAGACTTCTTATTATGTCATCAGACCATAATTCAATTAAAACCTCATCTCCTCCTCTCTCCCCATGTGCTTATTTTTCCTGCCTCCTTCTGTTTTTTCGGCTATACGGGAACTACCAGAACTTCCTGTAAAAGGTCTGAAAGTCCGAACCATACAGAAATGCTTTCACACTAGAAACGAACCAAACCTTTGTTCAGTTTGATCCGGACCGAGATTACCTCTTTTCGTGTGACCAAATTTCATCCGTTTGTTTCACACCTGTAATTTTGATTAGAACCAAACTGAAAAGTCTGAAAGTCCGGACCAAACAAGGTAGGTGTGAAAGGGCCCTTAGCCTAAATTTGGAGTTTGAATCCTTTGTTGTCTTTGGTCTCTGTCTTTCATGTGTTTTTGTATGAAAAAAAAAAGAGAGAGGGATATTAAAGTGTAGACAGATTTGTTATGTGGCTTACTTGGTTGTCCATTTTAGTAACACACTTCTCTTGATTTTGAATGAGAACTGTTTTCTCTTGTTGCATTTTTGTGTCAGTTTTGACTGCCTTTGTGCTCTTTTCTTTTTAGCTTCAGTACCAGATTGACCTTAAAAACAGTAAGGGCAAGTTTTCAGCAGTAAAGGACACTCCTGAAATGCTTCGTGTTAAAGAAAATACAAAGAATTTCAGCTCGGTACTTACTGCTTAATGAGTATATGTTTTTTTTTTTTTTTTTCAACATTCTAACCACTTTTTTTTTTTTTGGTTATTTTTCTGTTCTCTTTTCTTGCTTTACACCACCTTTTCCTTGTTTTTCTGTACAACCTCAAGTTAACATTTCTTGACATCCAGCTCTTTTTATATAATATAAATATAGATATCCTAAACAGACCGTAGTCTAATACTTAGTCATAAATTAGCAAAGCCACTAACAGTAATCATCAAATTTGATGCTGTTGACCTTTATTCCTCCTAAACAGTAGCTCTAACCGTTTTACAAGCTTAATATATGTACATATTTTACTTGTTTGGTTTGTATCTGTCTTGTGTGTTTGAAATGTTGTGTTTGAAATGGTGTAGTTTCTTTGTTTGTCCATCTCTTCTCAAATGTTTGGTCTGTTTTATGTGCTAGGGTCCATTCTGAAGCGTCCCCAGACAAAACAAATGAAAGCTACTTATCATACAAGATAAAAAACAAATGTTAATGCATCATCATTCTTGTACAATTCTAAAGATCCAGTACAAGGAGGAGCTTGGGCAAGGAACATCCATAGCTGAAACCCCTGAGATGGAGAGGGTTAAACGCAATCAGGAGGCTATTAGCACGGTACTCAGTGTTGTGACCCAACCATTCACCCTCCTTCCCATTGGAGAGTCCCTAAAAAACAACATAATGCCTCCTTTATGTATGACAGCATTCTAAAAAATGTAATTTCAAACATTCATTTTAAAATAGAGCATCTAATATGAAGTAATAATTTTAAATAAATAGCCATGCCTCTCATCAGTTTTAATAACATATTATAACATGATCCATAAATGTATCCATCTTCATCTGAAAGTGGTTCCAAGACTTTAACTAGTGTTGCATTGTTAAAAACACTCAACCTCTCCTCTCTTTTTACCCCTTTCATCCCGTTTTTGCATTCTCTGACTTTATCACTTATTTGATCCTGTCAATTATTTCATGCTCTTAATGGACCTGAAATGTGTATTAGATTAAATACAGGGATTCGCTAAGTCAAGGCATTTCTATACCTGACCTTCCTGAGGTGAAGCGTGTACGGGACACCCAGAAGAACATCAGCTCGGTAGTGATTTTCTCTTTGAGGAAGACTCCTTGCTTTAAACATTTTACTGTATACTCTCATTCTTCATCTTTATCTAAGTCTCATTTACCCCTTCTTCAGCTTATTGGTAAGGATAAACGTCCCTAAAAAAACCAAAAGCTCCCCTTCACTATTTTATGTATTTTACTCCATAATTTACCATTCAAAAAACGTTTGGAGTTTGTAAGATGTTATGCTCACCTAGGCTGTTTTTATTTGGTCAAAAATAAAATAAATGTTATTTATATGCTATAATTGTTGTGAAATACCATTTAACAGAACTGTGAATATATTTTAAAATGTAATTTATTCCTGTGAAGGCAAAGCTTTAATTTCACATGATCCTTCAGAAATCATTTCTAATATGATGATTTAGTGCTCAAGAAACATTTCTTATTATTATCAATGCGGCAACATTTGCTGCTTAACATTTTAAGCTGCTTAATATTTAGTGGAAACTGTGATATATTTTTTTCATAATTCCTTTTAAAAAAATCTTACTGACCTCAAGATTTTGAACGTTAGTGTTTATACCTCACAGTATATGACCAAATTATTTTCCCTACTTTGTTTAGAGACAATTTAAGATGTATTCTGACATTTTACATCTTCAAATGCATTTTGTATGTCATAGATTTTTTTTTTTTTTTTACACGTGATATCTGACAATTATTGACATCATAAGATTTCAAGTCATTTTTTATCTTGGTTTTTTGTTTTATTTTTGCCTCATTGCCTCTACATGTGTTAAGATCCAATACAAGGAAGACTTGGGAGGAGGAACATCAATTTCAGAAACGCCAGAGATGGAGAGAGTTAAACGCAATCAGCAAAATATTAGCACGGTACACTGCGATGTATCCCTTTATCCCACCCATAAAACATTCCCTTTTCCTCGTCACTCCATCATCTAAGAAACCCCTTTAGCCTCCATCTGTTTATACTAGTCCCTCTAGTGATCCTGAGAAGAAGTCACTGCATCAAATCCATCATTCATAAAAATAGTTGTAACTCTTGTGTAGCTCATGTGACAAAATCCTGTATTCCCTTTTATCAGTAATATCTATTTAGCCGCAGATTTAATTAATATTATTAATATTAGCAATAATTAGGTACCATACCTTTTTTTTTTTTTTTTTTTTTTTTACAAAATCTTGCGGGTAAGATCTAGTTTTAAACTTGTTTTGTTTATCAGCAACATTATCAGTTTTTTGCCTACATAATTGATTTGCTCCAAAACCTAGTAAGCTGCCTACCAAGGGAGCATTTGAAGGCATCATAGGCACACTCCTGACCCAAAGGCTGTTATGAAAAGTTGACAACTTTATGGATTGTTAAACTTAAATAGTACGTGGTGGGTCGAGTCTCTGATGTTAAATGCTATTTTTGTAGTATATAAAACTGCTGCCTATGTAGAAATTTACAAGTATGCCTCTTATGGGCACTTATAATGCAATTTTAAAGGCAGACGTCTGCGTAGGCAGCGAGGAGGCTTGGGTTTGGAACAGAGCTAATGATTTTGTGTATGTCATCTTTGTAGATGTTTGTTCTGTTGCTGTTTGGTTCATGTGTGTGTTGTTTATTTGATATGTCGTAATTAATCCTTGGGTAGATAAAATACAAGGATTCGCTGGGTCAAGGCACAGCCATACCGGACCTCCCCGAGATGAAGCGGGTCAGAGAGAATCAGAAGCACATCAGCTCGGTAGTGGAAGCTCCACAGGGTTTACTTGAGAGTGGCTCTGTACCCCATTAACGCTTCCAGTATTCTTCTTTTTTTTCCACTCTTACAATGCCATCATTTTCATCTAATGTAATTCACAAAATCATACTCCACCATAGTTAGTTACCCTTTGCTGTGAGTTCAAATGTATGGGAATTATTCAACTGCAAACATCGTTCCTAATCCAAAATTAAACCAACACCAGATATCCCATATTTGTTGTTTTCCCTTCCCAACCAGTTTCCTCTTTTTTTAATTCTAGGAAATAAACTCATTGTGTGTTGTGTGTGACGTTTGATGTGACTGCGACTCTCCAGAGACTCTTGCGTCTGTGTGGTGTTTTGTGTCTGACTGGCCTCTGGGGGCGCTGTTCTTTTCTACTCTAGGTTTTGTATAAGGACCTCTCTGCCAAGGGAACGCCTGTGGTGTTCACTCCAGAGATGGAACGGGTCAAACGGAACCAAGTGCAGATTAGCTCGGTACTCACAGCCACAGGACACGAGTGTGTGTGTTTGCCGTGTGTAAACGTAACTGCTCTAATACCCTCATTTCACTTAGGAGGCTAATAATATTAACTTTATTCTTCCATATGCTGAATTTAATTCAGTAACTGATCATCATCACTACAAAGGTTCATCTCGGGACCTACCGACTTTTAATCCAGCCCTCTGAAGATCCTTCTAATTCATCTGTCTGAATTCACAATAACACCCAGGGTTTTGCTGATGGATGTCATATTCATGTTCTTTGTCTAATGTCCTGATTTCCTGGTGTGTCTACCACAGGGTCTTGATACATAATCATAATTCAGGTTTATAATGTAAGTATTTTCTGTGACTTTTGTTTAGGTTCTGTACTCTGACAGCTTCCGTAAGCAGGTGCAGGGGAAGGCCGCCTTTGTGCTGGACACCCCTGAGATGAGACGTGTTAAAGAAACCCAGCGTATCATCTCTGGAGTAAGATGATGTTCACATCTTGACCTTTATCATTATTTTGCAATGTACTGATTTTTCGATATTATATGAAGGTCAACCCTATTGCGTTCAAAATGGGAGGTAAATGTACAAGGTTGTATTACAGTCAGTTACAGTCTGTACCCATCGTTGACTACACAGTTTTCTGCAAAATCTGTCAATTCGCCTGCCCAAATTCTGCAGACTGGATCTGGCACAGACATCATTATTTATTGTGCTCTCGTAATCTCAAATCAAAATAACTTCCCCTCCCTCTTGGAACGACAACTCTTCTGTTCTATAATATGACATGTTTACTGGCATGAGGGTGGGACATCCTGTCCCTCACATGAGATCACAGCAGCAAACCAAAACCATCCAACTACCCTATCAATTTCCATTGGACAAAATCAAGTCCCACCCTACAGTTTCTTTTCTCATTTAAAAAAGCCATTCGAATTGCCAATTGAGACTTTGGACGACAAATGGATTGTTGCTGTAGCAGGTTCTTAGTGTCCTGACTCATGTTTTGCTGTCTATTGGTCCTGTCAGGTCAGATACCACGAGGACTTTGAGAAGAGTAAGGGCAGCTTCACCCCCACCATCTCTGACCCCATAACTGATCGTGTGAAGAGGAACACACAGGACTTCAGTGACATCAGCTACCGCGGCATCCAGCGACGTGTGGTGGAGATGGAGAGGAGACGTGCAGAGGAACATGATCAGGAGACCATCACTGGTCAGCTGACACACACTGTGTTTCTTGTACACACTAAACACAATTGAGTTTAGAAACTGATTTCTCTTCCTGTAAAGCTAGAAAAGCATGACACCTATGTAATGAATAATATATAAATGATATACAGAAACCAAATGAGTTTTGAATAGAGACATTCACTAAAACTGAGTTTACATTCTCTAAGACCTGCGTGTCTGGCGCACAAACCCTGGCTCTGTCTTTGACTATGACCCTGCCGAGGACAACATCCAGTCCAGAAGTCTTCATATGATGTCAGGTGGGTCACCATAAAACGGTTATTACGATTGAAGACAGTCTTTCAAAGAGGAGGGAGCATTGACATGTTTGTCCCATTATTCAGTCCAAGCCCAGCGCCGCAGCAAGGAGCACTCCCGCTCCACCAGCGCAATGAGTGGGGTGGGCGATGAGAAGTCCGAGGTGTCTGAGAACGTGGACCACCATGCATTGCTCTACAGCAATGGCTTTGGTGTCTCGAATTTACACGGTACATGTTTAAAGTGCCCCATTTCTTTTGTCTTTACAGTTGGCATGAAATGAAAATTCAACCCATCTTTTTTTTTAACCTTCAAATGGTCTTCGTTTCCTGTTTACACTTCTGGGCCTCGGGGTCTATACGACCCCAACAATAGTTTTTTTTTTTTTTTTTTTTTTCAAATTTCCCATTCATTTCAATGTGTGGTCATATTGACCCTGAAGACCAGAAGTCTAAACATTTTTTTTTTTTTACATACCTTCAGAACAACTGAATCAAGCAATTTTTTGTGTGTGTGTGTATAGATAGATAATGTATGAAAAGTCTCAAAAGCTTATTCCATTGAGATGATGGGAACCTTATTTTTATAAAGTAAAAGTCGATTGGGGTCGTATAGACCCAATGAGCCGATTGAGGGCTACTGCAATGCATGTTATTGATCTTTTTTGTGAATTACTGATTGTGTTAATTTAAAAAAACAAAACAAAACAAAAAAACGTTGAACTTGATCTCGTAATGTTTATTCAAAATATCATAACTCGATCTTTCATTGAAAATTACAGACTGCTCTGATGTTGAAAAGAGTGAGTGCAATGTCCACATTTCAATATCGAATCAGGAACAGATGGATAGAGTTACATTGCAACATTAAGGACGGACAAAAATGAATTAACAAATATATTTAAACAAAATCCAGGAGTTTTTTTTTTTTTAATTACGTTGTATTACTATTATTATTATTTTTTTATTTTTGCTTTATAGCAATTCAAAATAATTCTATTATACTGTGTACAGTATGATGGATTACCACCCCGGTAGACATAGCTCCTCCACACGATAAAGTTGGCCAGCTCCGATAATAACAAATGCACATGAGCAGCGGTAGAAAGAATGTGCCGCAGCCCGCAAGTGAGGTTTTTTTTTTATGACAGTGTTGTGAAAATATATGCTGCTAAGCTGTAGGGGGAACTTGTTGAGAAAACATGTGACAACAAAAGTGAAAATCAGCAAAGAAATAACTAGAGTTGCCAATTTCCCCTATAAAATGATATGTAAAAGTGTTAATCTGGTCTACCATCTCAATGGTACTAATAACGGTTGAAGATTGCCTGTAAGGGGCCAAAATCTGAATGTTAATTATCTGATGAGATATTTATGCTATTAAATCTGCTGTTTTCTCATTTAGGATACACACAAACCAAGACTACAGAGGTTCAGCAGAGATCCTCCTCTGTGGCAACACAACAGACCACTGTTTCTTCTGTCCCCTCACATCCCTCAACCACTGGAGTAAGTACTGAGAGACCAATGGCAACTTTAATAAACTCAATGCATATGCTTTACAATATCTTAGTCTAAATAGTAACAGCATATTCCATGTAGTGAAGCTGTTCGTTTAATATTCTCCCCTCTGCCCTAAACAGAAAACTGTCCGTGCCATGTATGACTACGCTGGTGCTGACAGTGATGAGGTGTCCTTCAAGGATGGTGATGTCATCGTGAATGTGCAGTCTATTGATGAGGGTTGGATGTATGGTACTGTGCAGCGTACTGGAAAAACCGGTATGCTGCCCGCCAACTATGTGGAAGCCATCTAAATACAACTACTGCCCTGTCAAACTCCTTGTGGATAGGGGAGTTTGATATCCACTAAGACAGAAACAAGCATTTTATGTGTACTGTTAGTCCTAAGTAGTTACATTACTGTTTGTCCTCATTACTGTTATGCAATTTCGTTTGTGCCCATGTCACTAAGTCTATTGTGGTTGTGGCATGAGAAATTATACATACCTATTTAAGTCACAGACACTTGTATTTATCTTTTTCTTCTATTCTAGCAGTTAAGTAACTGGAGCCCATTATTTTTGTATATTGCAATTACACTTCATTCAAAGAAGGCCATTGTGAAAGTTTTAACAATGAAACTTTTGCACAAAGAGAGATGGGCTCATGGTTCACTTTATATGTGAAAAGGAAAACCAGAAGTTCAGTGTTTTATAAAAACCGAACAGAGGCACTAAAGTTGCCACATGAAAAAAACAACAAAAAAACATGAGAATGTTGAGGACAAGGCATCAATTACTCTGACATGAAATGTATTGATTTAAACTGAGCCTCCTCCCTCCCTTGCTGAAGGCTGGCCACTATTTGCATGTGTGTTTTGTTTCTTTGATTCTGTGGGTGTAGGATTAGAGGAAGATGTATACCTCGAATCAGTAGCCAATAAAGCACACCGCGCTTCTGCAGTAAATTTGTTTCCTGTCATGGAGTTTTTCTCTTTTTTTAAAAGTTTAAAATATATCATAAAAATGTAAATTCTTTCATTTACTCTCATGTTCCAAACCTCTAATTTTCCATTCATCTTTGCAACACAAATGACATCATTTTTAATATTCACTATTTTTTGTCTGAGCAAATTACAGAATTTTAATTTTTGGAAGAAATAACACTTTAATATTATTTAAACCAAGCGTGCCGCACAAGCCCTCAAAAGTGAGGCCAATTGATTTTGCGGCTTTACTTCCTGCTCACGACTGCGCATGTCTGGTCCCGAAAACGCAAGTGCGCAGACTAAAGCCGCATTGCCACAGACTCAGGGGGCCTCCCTGAGTGCGGTAAAATAGTTTTCATCCCAAAATTTTGAAAGCTAAGCTTAAAAACCACGTGTCCACAA